TACAAAAAATAAGCAAATGAGCCAAACATGATGGCACATGCCTATGGTCCCAGCTACTCAGGAAGCTGAGGCGGGAGGACTAACTGAGCCCAGGATGTTGAGGTGGCGGTGAGCTGTGATCATGCCACTGCACTCCAGTCTGAGCAACAGAGCAAGACCCTGTCTCAAAAAAAAAAAAAAAAAAATTATAAACCACTACAAGAAAAGGGAAATAAGCCAGTTGATGTCTGCCTGCCCTGTGTAACTGCCTTTGACCTCCTCAAAACCATACCTGGCCCATACTAACATCTGGCTGCATCCTAGCCATGAGAAGGCGTTCAGGGATTCTGTAAAGAGACCATGAGGGGCTATTCATACTCTTGCCATCTAACAGTGGTCAACTGATGCAGGCTACCACAGGCATACATGACCTGAGACCTTTCTAAAACTTACGTTTTCTTGCCAGGCACTGTGGCTCATGCCTGTGATCCTAGTGCTTTGGGAGACTGAGGCAGGGAAATCACCTGAGGTCAGGAGTTCAAGACCAGCCGGCTAACATGGTGAAACACCATCTCTACTAAAAACACAAAAATTAGCCAGGCATGGTGGCATATGCCTGTAATCCCAGCTACTTGGGAGGTTGAGGCAAGAGAATCACTGGTACCCAGAAAGCGGAGGTTGCAGTGAGCTGAGACTGCACCACTGCTCTCCAGCCTAGGTAATATGGGAGACTCCATCTCAAATAAATAAATAAAATAAAATAAAACTGATGTTTCCAGATCAACTCAATGGCTACCTCATACCACATGTAAAATGCTGGGAATAGATGTCCACCTTTTTTTTTTTTTTCCTCTTTTCTTTTAATTTTTTTTTTTTTTTAAGAGACTGGGTCTCGCTATGTTGCCCAGGCTGGAGTGCAGTGGCTACTCACAGGCGTGATCCCACTACTGATCAGCACGGGAGTTTTAACCTGCTCTGTTTCTGACCTGGGCCAGTTCACCCCTCCTTAGGAAACCTGGTGGTACCCCGCTCCCGGGAGGTGATGCTGAACTTAGTGTGGACACCCGATCGGCATAGCGCACTACAGCCCAGAACTCCTGGGCTTAAGAGATCCTCCCACCTCAGCCTCCAGAGTAGCTGGGACTACAGGCACATGCCACCACACCTGACGATGCCCCCCTTGCTTTAGAATTTCAGTCAACACCTACGGTTCACCAATCTAACATGAGACAGGGCCTTTTCCAGCAAGATCCACTAAAACTGAAAATGTTAAAAGCCAGTTGAAAGAATCCAGATCTCCAACATAACCAGACCTCATCTCTCAAAAAATACAAAAAGACAGGAGCCACGGTGGCTCCGGCCAGTTGTCCTGGCGCTTGAGGAGTCGAAGCTATGAGTTCAAGGCCAACCTGAGCAACATAAGCTCTCGGCCGGGCGCGGTGGCTCACTCCTATAATTCCAGCACTTTGGGAGGCTGAGGTGGGTGGATCACGAGGTCAAGAGATAGAGACAATCCTGGTCAACAAGGTGAAACTCTGTCTCTACTAATCACACAAAAATTAGCTGGGCATGGTGGTGTGTGCCTGTAGTCCCAGCTACTCGGGAGGCTGAGGCAGGAGAATTGCTTGAAACCAGGAGGCGGAGGTTGCGGTGAGCTGAGATCATGCCATTGCACTCCACTCTGGGTAACAACAGCGAAACTCCGTCTCAAAAAAAAAGCTCTCATTCATTAACAACAAAAAAAGAATCCAGGTCTCTAAGTGTAAGCACTTCCCTTCTGAAGTTGGTCTCTGCGCTCTAACTAGGTAACTAGCTCAGCTGTTATCTATGATAAAGACTAGGAGAAAACCATTTTCCTCCCTACAAGTTTAAGAAGTGAACCCCAGTTTCTCTGGCAATATGAGACTCCAGCACTACCATTTTAGTCAACATTATTTTTGAGGTGCTCGTTTTAAGAGGTCATTCTCATTCACACTAGTTCATATGCTAAATATATATGTGCTTCTATCAGATGGTGGAAGGAAAAAATAGGAGCTTTGAAGCCCTCCCATAAATTTAACTTTCCTATCTGTAAATGCACTAGATGGGGATAAAAATGAAAGACAGCCAGGTGTGGTGGCTCATGCCTTTAGTCACAGCAGTTTGAGAGGCCAAGGTGGGAGGATCACTTAAACCCAGGAGTTTGAAACCAGCCTGGGCAACATGGCAAGACCTCATCTCTCCAAATAATAAAAAATATTAGGCCGGGCATGGTGGCTCACGCTTGTAATCCCAGCACGTTGGAAGGCCAAGGCAGGCGAATCACCTGTGGTCGGGAGTTCAAGACCAGCCTGATCACCATGGAGAAACCCCACCTCTACTAAAAATACAAAATTGGCCAGGCATGGTGGAAGATGCCTGTAATCCCAGCTACCTGGGAGGCTGAGAGAGGAGAATCACTTAAACCTGGGAGCAGAGGTTCCTGTGAGCCAAGATCGTACCACTGCACTCCAGCCTGGGCCAAAAGAGCAAAACTTCATCTCAAAAAAAAAAAAAAAGCCACGTGTAATGGCAGGCACCTATATCTTAGCTACTCAGGAGCCTGAGGTGGGTGGATAACTTGAGCCCAGAAGGTTGAGGCTACAGTGAGCTGTGATCTTGCACTGCACTCAAGCCTAGAAGACAGAGCAAGACCCCATCTCATTAAAAAAAATTAAAAATTAAAAAAGAGAGAGAGAGAGGCCGGGTGCAGTGGCTCACACCTATAATCCCAGCACTTTGGGAGGCTGAGGCGGGTGGATCACGAGGTCAAGAGATCGAGACCATCCTGGTCAACAAGGTGAAACCCCGTCTCTACTAAAAATACAAAAATTAGCTGGGCGTGGTGGTGCGTGCCTGTAGTCCCAGCTACTCGGGAGGCTGAGGCAGAAGAATTGCTTGAACCCAGAAGGCGGAGGTGGCGGTGAGCTGAGATCGCGCCATTGCACTCCAGTCTGGGTAACAACAGCGAAACTCCGTCTCAAAAAAAAAAAGAGAGAGAGAGAGAGAGATGCAGCAGCTTCCCATGATGAAAATTTCAGAGGCATAGAATTCTGGAGTTCAGGCAGCTTAGATGCTGGCCTGGCTCCCAACAGTGAAGATCAGGGGGCTGAAGCCCCAGGATCTACCCAATACCACAGAGCCTCTCAGGCAGAGAAGTTACATCACTGAGGAAGTAGGCAAGGCTCTGATTCTGGCAGTCTTGCCCCCAGCCTCGTTCCTTGGCAGGCATTCTGCATGCATCACAAAGGGGACGGTCCCTAGGAGAAAGAAGTTCTGAATGTCCAAGAACACACAGTGTTGGCACAGTCACTAGGTGGGTTGGCAAATTTCCAACACCAAACCTAAAGTATGATGAGGAAAGCCTTTCTTTTTTTTTAAGATGGGGTTTCACCAAGATGGCCAGGCTGGTCTTAAACTCCTGACCTCAGGTGATCCACCCCCCTTGGCCTCCCAAAGTGCTAGGATTATAGGCGTGAGCCACCGCACCCGGCCGAGGAAAGCCTTTCTAAAGTAGCTGCAGTCATGTTATTTCATAACTTAAACACCTGCTTTGTTGCAATCACTGGAAAAAAAAAGGGAGACTGGGAGAAGAAAGAAAAAGAAAAATTAAATATCTCCCCTATGATTTTCTGTGTCTGCTTGGATCACCCTAAAATAGGAAGTCTCCCTAATGCTCTTTTTTTGAGAGGGGGACAGAGTCGCACTCTGTCGCCCAGGCTGGGCAGTGGCATGATCTTAGCTCACTGCAACCTCTGCCACCCAGGTTCGAGTGATTCTCCTGCCTCAGCCTCCTGAGTAGCTGGAATTATAGGTGCCTGCCACCACAACCAGCTAATTTCTGTATTCTTTTTTTTTTTTTTTTTGAGATGGAGTTTCGCTCTTGTTACCCAGGCTGGAGTACAATGGCGCAATCTCGGCTCACCACAACCTCTGCCTCCTGGGTTCAGGCAATTCTCCTGCCTCAGCCTCCTGAGTAGCTGGGATTACAGGCATGTGCCACCATGCCCAGCTAATTTTTGTATTTTTAGTAGAGACGGGGTTTCACCATGTTGACCAGGATGATCTCGATCTCTTGACCTCGTGATCCACCTGCCTCGGCCTCCCAAAGTGCTGGGATTACAGGCGTGAGCCACCGTGCCCGGCCTAATTTTTTTATTTTAAGTAGAGACGAGGTTTCACTATGTTGGCCAGGCTAATCTCGAACTCCTGACCTCGTGATCTGCCCACCTAGGCCTCCCAAAGTGCTGGGATTACATGCACCAGCTAATTTTTTTTGTACTTTTAGTAAAGACAGGGTTTCATCATGTTTGCCAGGCTGGTCTTGAACTCCTGACCTCAGATGATCTGCCTGTCTTAGCTTCCCAAAGTGCTGGGATTACAGGCGTGAGCCACCGCACCTGGCTCCTAATGCTAACTTTAATGAGGACCTTCCTAAAGCTGGTCCAACTAGTACTGTTCAAGTCCTTGGACTGAAAAACAAGTTTATGAGCAGCAAGGTCACCTGATTCTGACCATGTGTATGCTGTTTACCCTGAGATGACAAGCTAGTGGCCACAACAGCTTTCATGAATGCTGCAAAGACTCTACTATCCCTTTGAAGGCTACCAGGGCCTCTACATGACTCAATGTCATAAAAAAGAACCTCATGAGTACAGCAAGAATGTGAAAGGAAGGAAGTCACAAAAACACCATATGTTCATGAGGGAAACTCCATTCTGAACACAAAATTTTTAAAGTAAACTTATTACTTGTTTGCCTAATCTTCTAGGATCAAATTATATCACCACTGAAAAGAAACCCCTGCTTTACCCCCAACACACCCACTTTCCATCAAGATCTGCTGCTTAGACTAGACCATGCCCACAGTCAGGAAACAGAGGCAGCCCAGACCCATGCAGCTCAACAGCTCATATCAGCAACAAGTGCCAGCCAAGGGACCTGAACTCTGACCACAGGGATCAGTTCCATGTTAGGGGAAAGAGGGTGGTCATGAGACTTACCCATCTCTTCCTTTGCTGACAATCTTCACTTCAAAGTAATAAATGCCACAGGCAGCAGGTATGGGGTGGGTGGCACGCACTGAGGCCGCATCTTTGTGATTTTTGCCATGACCTAACAGGAGAGGGCAAGCAAGAAATTTCAGCAGAAGGAAATGCAAATGGAAGCCTCATTCTTCTGCAGATCCTCCATGGCAACTCCACTCCTCTGTGGCCAGAGGAAGCACTTACACAGTCCAAGGAATCATTAGACAACTGAGTAAACACATAAACCTTCCACCTTTGCCTCATCTCCTCCTGAGAATAGTAGTCCTGCCTAAGACACTGTCCATACAAACAAAACAAGGGTATAGGCAATATGAGAGATACCCAAGTGCTGCTGGTTGCCTCTTAGAATCCAGAAAGCCCACCTGGGAGACCAGGGAAGGGAGGAGGCCGACCTGGAAGACACGCCCCAAACTCTAGCACGGAACCCCAGACCCAGTCAGGGATGCCTGGCAGGTGGGTAAGCCCATGAGCCTCAGGCTAATGGTAGGGATGTGACCACCCCTTTCTTCTAAGCAGGGGCGAAGGGTCCCGCTGGGGTTGGAGACAGCCTAGGATAAGCAAGGAAGCCCTGGAGTGGAAGGTCCGGCCCAGCACTGGGTTTGGACACCTGTTGCGGTTCTCTTGACAGCAGGTGTCTCAGGACAGAAAACAAGCAGTTAACCCTCGGCCCGGTCAGCCTCATCACCCTGGACATTCTGAAAGGGCCAAGGCCTAACCTGGAGCACCTAGGCAGGGAAAGGGAAGTAATGGGAAACGGGCCTGGCAGCAGACACCCCACAGACGCTCTCCAGCCTTGTTTCCCCGCAGCCTGACGGGCCGATACCTTTGTAGTGGACGCGGAGGTTGCCCTGGGAGAGACCAATGTAGTTGTATTTGTCCTTGGGGCTCCAGGAGCGCGGTAGCGGCGTCTCTTGCTGGTTGACCGCGGGGTACAGGTGCTGCAAGCGCCGGCTCAGCTCCTGCTCCCCGGGGGACGGCAGCCCGCCCCCAGCGCCCCCGCCGGAGGAGTCCCCAGCCTGTGGGTTCCCAGCTCCCGGGTCTGCCGTCGCTGCCGCCATCTTGGAGGGAGCTGCTATTGTGTCATGGGGGCGGGGAGAAGCGAGACCAGATCCGCCCCGCTAAGCCAATGGCCCGTGAGCTTCCCGTGGTTGCAGGGAAACCGAGTCCGAATCCAGTACCTCTCTTTGAACACTGCCATGCCTTGCCACATTGTGAACTCCATATCCCACAATCCAGAGCTCTTGAAAGGCGGAGCAACTCGGGCTGGTAGAGAGTTCTGGGAGATGTAGTACAACCCTCCTCAGCCATAAGCTTGTCCCACTGAGACGTCGGGACACCGAAAACTACAATTCCCGCCGGCAAAGCGTCTCCGGCCTCTAGGCACACTTCCCTACCCCATAGACTCTGTTCATCCCCCAGCCTCAATTCTGGTACCTCGGGTCAAATCGGTTGTAGTTATTGACTCTCAGGGCACCCGCTGCCGGGTCCCAGACCACCTTTGCTGCTTTATTCTCCTCTCAGCCCCCGGGCGCTGGGGTTGGGGGCGGGGCGCATCCCTGACTCCGCCCTCGCTGCAGGGCGGCTGGAGCCTGGTCGCCATGGCGACGGGCTGTACACTACCACAGCTTCCCAGGCCGCAGGTGCTGGTTGCCCGCCTGCGCGTGGTCATGGCCTCCCAGCAGTCGTGGTGCCACAGCTTCTCGTCCGCGTCGAGGTAGGCGGTGGCGGGGATGGGCAGAGAGGAGGGTTTGAGTACTTTTAGAGAGGGAAATGGCATTTGATCGGGACCGCTGCACCTCCTGCTGGCCTCTGACCATTGATCTAGGGCTTCAGCCCTACAGAGTCAATGATCGCAGAAACGGTTAGAATCCGGGCTGATTTAGCCCAATGAAGACGTTACGTGCTAGCAAAAGGGCAGGCGCACTTTATCATTACCAGTAACAAACAGCTGGTATTGAATGTACTATATACCAAATGCTTTTTAAATCACATTTTTAAAATATTTTATTTTTGAGACAAGAACTCGCTCTGTCACCCAGGCTGGAGTGCAGTGGCACGACTCACTGGAGCCTCGACCTCCCAGGTTCAAGCGATCCTCCTACTTAAGTCTCCCGAGTAGCTGGGACTACAGGCATGCGCCACCACTCTTGGCTAATTTTGAGGTGTTTCTTCGTTTGTTCGTTTTTTTGTAAAGATGGGATTTCACCATGTTGCCCAGGCTGGTTTCGAACTCCTAGACTCAAGAGACCCTTCCACTTCGACCTCTCAAACTGGCATTACAAGAGTGAGCCACCGCACCCGGCCTATGTACCATATTCAAACCTCAAGATAACTGTATAAAGTAGTAATATTACCATTGTAAAAGTGAAGAAATACTTTAGAAGCCCGGAGAGATCATCCTCCATGTAGCTCCTGCCTGTACTCAGGTGTATAGCCTCTGGGTACTGCAAAATATGACCAGCTCCATCAGCCTGGAAAGCCATATATATGCATTAACACAAAAATTTTGACTAAATACTTTTCAGCTGGGCATGGTGGTGCAAGCCTATAATCCCAGCACTTTGAGAGGCCCAGGTGGGCAGATCATGAGGTCAGCAGTTTGAGACAAGCCTGGCCAACACAGTGAAACCCCGTCCCTACTAAAAATACAAAAAAAAAAAAAAAAAGTTGAGTGTGGCGGCAGGCGCCTGTAGTCCCAGCTACTAGGGAAACTGAGGCAGGAGAATTGCTCAAGCCGGGGAGGCAGAGGTTGTAGTGAGCTGAGACCCCGCCATTGCACTCCAGCCTGGGTGACAGAGTGAGACTTCCTCTCTCTCTCTCTTTTTGTAATTCAGTCCCCATAGAGATTGCCAAAAATTGCCAGTGCCGACTGTATTTCAAGTTGTCATGGCATGGTGTTGGGAAAAGTTTTCAATTAGCAATAATCGCACCTCGAATAAACCTCATTTGCTACGATACTGCCACTGCGCAAAGCTAAAACTCTGTGTCAAAAAAAAAAAATTGGCTAAATACTTTTCTAGTTTTGGGACCTCAGAGAAGGCCCTTCAAATTCCAGGCCTCAGCTTCTATATCGCAAACATGGGAATGATACAGCCCGCCCCACAAACATTGTTGGGAATATTTAGGCAGAATATGTGAAGCTCTTACCACAGCTCCTATATATAATAGGCACCCAGTAAGTGTTGAATGAATGTGGTGTTCCCCCCTCTACCCAGTGCAAAAAAAAACAAACACCCAATCCCACCTAAACTCTCATCCTTCAGGGTCTGCTGCCTTGACAAGGAAAAGCCTACAAAAGTCCCTAAGAACAGGAAATGCCAATTTGATTATTTTTTCCAGAGTTAAAATGAGTCTACGAGCACCAAGCACCAGGCTTAAGAAAGAGAATTGGTAACCAGCACAGACATAATTTAGGAAACTGCCATTCTCTATGAAAGGGATATGAAAGAGAATCTCCATCCATTTTAAGAAAGAAGCACAGGGCTGGTCATGGTGGCTCATGCCTGTAATCCCAACACTTTGGGAGGCCAAGGTGGGAGGATCCCTTGAGTTAGGAGTTCAAGACCGGTCTAGGAAACATAGTAAGACCCTGTCCTTACAAAAAAAAAAAAAAATTGTAATTAGCAGGGTGTGGTGGTATATGCCTGTAGTTCCACCTACTCAGGAGGCAGAGGCAGGAGGATTGCTTGAACCCAGGAGTTTGAGAGGGTGCAATGAGCTGTGATCACACACTGCCCTGCACCCTGGGCACAAAGCAAGACCTTGTCTATTTAAAAACAAAATAGGCCAGGCGCGGTGGCTCACACCTGTAATCCCAGCACTTTGGGAGGCCGAGGCGGGCAGATCATGAGGTCAAGAGATCAAGACCATACTGGTCAACATGGTGAAACCCCGTCTCTACTAAAAATACAAAAAATAGCCAGGCATAGTGGCATGTGCCTGTGGTCCCAACCTCTTGGGAGGCTGAGACAAAAGAATTGCTTGAATTCAGGAGGTGGAGGTTGCAGTGAGCCGAGATTGTGCCACTGCACTCCAGCCTGGCGATAGAGCAAGATTCCATCTAAAACAAAACAAAACAAAAAAAACGGCCAGGCACGGTGGCTCACACCTATAATTCTAGCACTTTAGATGGATCGACTGAGCTCAGGATTTCTGAGACCAGCCTGGGCAATATGGCAAAAACCCCGTCTCTAATAAAAATATAAAATATCAGGCTGGGCATGGTGGCTCACGCCTGTAATCCCAGCACTTTGGGAGGCCAAGGCGGGCGGATCACGAGGTCAAGAAATCGAGACCATCCTGGTCATGGTGAAACCCCATCTCTACTAAAAATATAAAAATTAGCTGGGCATGGTGGCACGTGCCTGTGGTCCCAGCTACTCGGGAGGCTGAGGTGGAAGAATCGCTTGAACCAAGGTGGAGGTTGCAGTGAGCCGAGATTGCGCCACTGCACTCCAGCCTGGAGACAGAGTAAGACTCCATCTCAAAAAATATATATAGGCCGGGTACGGTGGCTCAAGCCTGTAATCCCAGCACTTTGGGAGGCCGAGGCAGGTGGATCACGAGTTCAAGAGATCGAGACCATCCTGGTCAACATGGTGAAACCCCGTCTCTACTAAAAATTACAAAAAATTAGCTGGGCATGGTGGCGCATACCTGTAATCCCAGCTACTCGGAGGCTGAGGCAGGAGAATTGCCTGAACCCAGGAGGCGGAGGTTGCAGTGAGCCGAGATAGTGCCATCGCACTCCAGCCTGGGTAAAAAGAGCGAACCTCCGTCTCAAAAAAAAAAAAAAAATATATATATATATAAATATATATATATATAAAATCAACCAGACATGGTGACATGTGCCTGTAGTTCCAGCTATTCAGGAAGCTGAGGCATGAGAATCACCTGAACCCAGAAGGTGGAGGTTGCAGTGAGCCAAGATCTTGCCACCGCTTTCTAGCTGCCTGGGAGACAGAGGGAGACTCTATCTCGATCTTTTTTTTTTTTTTTTTTTTTGAGACAGAGTCTCACTCCGTCACCAGGCACCAGGATGGAGTGCAGTGGTGCGACCTCGGCTCCCTGCAACCTCCGCCTCCCTGGTTCAAGCAATTCTCCTGCCTAAGCCTCCCGAGTAGCTGGGACTACAGGCGCATGCCACCATGCCCAGCTAATTTTTTTGTATTTTTAGTACAGACGGGGTTTCACTGTGTTGGCCAGGATAGTCTCGATCTCTTGACCTCGTGATCTGCCTGCCTCGGCCTTCCAGAGTGTTGGGATTACAGGAATAAGCCAACTGCGCCCAGCTGAGACTGTCTCAAAAAAGAAAAAAGAAAAAGAAAAAAAAAAGCCTGGGCGCGGTAACTCATGCCTGTAATCCCAGCACTTTGGGAGCCTGAGGTGAGTGAATCATTTGAGGTCAGGAGTTCAAGACCGGCCTGACCAACATGGTGAAACCCTGTCTCTACTAAAAATACAAAAACTAGCCAGGTGCTAGTGGCATACGCCTCTAATCCCAGCTACTGAGGAGGCTGAGGCAGGAGAATCACGTGAACCTGGGAAGTGGAGGTTACGGTGAGCCAAGATTGGGCCACTGTACTCCAGTCTGGGCAAGAGAATGAGACCTTGTCTCAAAAAAATAAATAAATAAGCTGGGCGCAGTGGCTCAAGCCTGTAATCCCAGTACTTTGGGAGGCTGAGGTGGGTGGATCACGAAATCAAAAGATCCAGACCATCCTGGTCAACATGGTGAAACCCCGTCTCTACTAAAAATACAAAAAATTAGCTGGGCATGGTGGCACGTGCCTGTAATCCCAGCTACTCTGGAGGCTGAGGCAGGAGAATTGCCTGAACCCAGGAGGCGGAGGTTGGGGTAAGCAAAGATTGCGCTATTGCACTCCAGCCTGGGTAACAAGAGTGAAACTCCGTCTCAAAAAATTAAATAAATAAATAAATAGAATAAAATACAAAACATCATTAATCTACTATATTCCTTATTCACCAGTATTTAGTGATACATATTGAGCCAGACTCACTGTTTCTCTTAGAGACACTCTGGGTGTCCTCCTTTCCCCTTAAAGAGGGGCAGGATGATGAAAAGGCTAGACCTTAGGCAGAACATGTCATCAAGACCCTCTGCAAGGGACCTTTGAATTGTGCATTTTCCTGGGGGCAGGTTTCTTCTCCCTATTGGTTTTTCTCCTTTCACCCTCATACCCCTGGCACTTGGTGGATGGAACTCAGCAGCTTGGGTTCACTGAATACCAAGATATACCCCTGACAAACCCACTGCCTACCATCACTTAAATAACTGAGTTTGGTCCATCTTTGAGGTAGAAATGTAAATGTTTCCCATTCCTCACTGAGGGTTAGTGTAAAATATTTAACATAATATTAAATAAGCATCCTAATCTTTTTGGATAAGTGTACAGACCCTGCCAGGAGTTTGGTTTGCTTTGGTTTAAGTCTGTTTTATACTGTTATCTCCTTTGATATTCAAAACTAACAACATGGCCGGGCGCGGTGGCTCAAGCCTGTGATCCCAGCACTTTGGGAGGCCGAGGCAGGTGGATCACGAGTTCAAGAGATCGAGACCATCCTGGTCAACATGGTGAAACCCCGTCTCTACTAAAAATACAAAAAAAAAAATTAGCTGGGCATGGTGGCTCATGCCTATAGTCCCAACTACTTGGGAGGCTGAGGCAGGAGAATTGCCTGAACCCAGGAGGCAGAGGTTGTGGTGAGCTGAGATCGCGCCATTGCACTCCAGACTGGGTAACAAGAGCGAAACTGCGTCTCAACAACAAAAAAAAAAACAACTAACAACATGTTACCTACTGAACTTTTCCATTCAACAGCTTCTCAGAATTTATAGAATTCCCCAATTTACTTGCTTACCTTTCTTTTCCTAGTGGTTCCAGCATGAGCAAGAACAGAGTTTAGAGAATTGATTAGTATTTTTTTTTCCGAGACTGAGTCTCGCTGTGTCACCCAGGCTGGAGTGCAATGGTGCAATCTCAGCTCACTGCAATCTCCAACTCCTGAATTCAAGTGATTCTCCTGCCTTGTCCTGCCTCAGCCTCCCAAGTAGCTGGGATTAAAGCTATCTACCACCACGGCCAGCTAATTTTTGTATTTTTTTAGTAGAGACAGGGTTGCACTATGTTGGCCAGGCTGGTCTTGAACTCCTGACCTTGTAATCCACCCACTTCAGCCTCCCAAAGTGCTGGGATTACAGACTTGAGCCACTGCACCTGGCCGAGCATTGATTAGTCTTGATAGGAAGGTACTGATTTAACCCACTGAGCACATGGGGTTGATCTGTTGTATCTTGCTGGTCTCCAAGATTGTCTCACACCCACACTCATCTGGGCAGACACTCTTCCTTCTCCACACTGACTGCTTCCTCCATGTCTTTTGCTCATACTTGTCCAATGTTGAGAGGCAACAGAGGACTAGTATTTGGAATATTACTACTCCATAAACTCCAGCTGAGGAGCACTACAGGGCAGGGGTTCCCAATTGGGTTCACATTAGGGCTCTCAACTTCCCTGGAGTTTGGGTAGTCCTGATCCTACTTTTATGGGCAAAGACACTGAGATTCAGAGAAGTAAAGTGGCATGCCCAAAGTCACCAGCAAGCAAGAGGAGTGAACACAAGATCTATCTGGCAACATGAATCACACAACCCTACCCCGCGGATTGTTGGAATTACTTCTTCCTTTTATTCCACCTGAGCCCACCTGCCCACAGTAGCCCTCCCTCTTGGTCCCCAGATGCCTTCCTGGCTTGAGCAAGATGGATGACTGTCCCAAGACGCTTTTCCCATTCTAATGTCATAATGAATATCTATGCAGGTCATTGCAGTTTACATGGTATTTTGCATACCTCATTTATTTATTTATTAAAATTTTATTTATTTTTAAAAATAGTCTGGGCACAGTGGCTCATGCCTGTAATTCCAGCACTTTGGGAGGCCGAGGCAGGTGGATCACGAGGTCAGGAGATTGAGACCATCATGGCCAACATGGTGAAATTCCATCTCTACTAAGACTACAAAAAGTAGCCCGGCGTGGTGGCATGCACCTGTAGTCTCAGCTACTCAGGAGGCTAAGGCATGAGAATTGCTTGAACCCAGGAGGTGGAGGCTGCAGTGAGCTGACATCGAACCACTGTACTCCAGCCTGGGCAACAGAGCAAGACTCAGTCTCAAAAGAAAATAATAAATAGAACTGGGTGTGGTGGCTCACACCTGTAATCCCAGCACTTTGGGTGGCCGAGGTGGGCAGATCACAAGGTCAAGAGATTGAGACCATCCTGGCCAACATGGTAAAACCCGTCTCTACTAAAAAAAATACAAGGGCCGGGCGTGGTGGCTTACACCTGTAATCCCAGCACTTTGGGAGGCCGAGGCAGATGGATCATGAGGTCAAGAGATTGAGACCATCCTGGTCAACATGGTGAAACCCTGTCTCTACTAAAAATACAAAAATTAGCTGGGCGTGGTGGCACGTGCCTGTGGTCCCAGCTACTCAGGAGGCTGAGGCAGGAGAATTGCCTGAACCCAGGAGGTGGAGGTTGCGGTGAGCCAAGATGGCACCATTGCACTCCAGCCTGGGTAACAAGAGTGACACTCCGTCTCAAAAGGGGAAAAAAAAAAAAAATTAGCCTGGCGTGGTGGCATGCGCCTGTGGTCCCAGCTACTCTGGAGGCTGAGGCAGAAGGATCACTTGAACCCAGGAGGCAGAGATTGCATTGAGCCGAGATTGTGCCACTGCACTCCAGCCTGGTGACAGAGCAAGGCTCCATCTCAAATAAAATAAAATTAATAATAATAATAAAAAGGCTGGGTGCAGTGGCTCATGCCTGTAATCCCAGCACTTTGGGTGGCCAAGGCAGGTGGATCACCTGAGGTAAGGGGTTTGAAACAATAAATGAATGAATGATTGAATGAATGAGGCAAAGTCTCACTATGTTGCTCAAGCTCATCTCAAACTCCTGGGCTCAAGTGATCTGCCTGCCTTGGCTTCCCAAAGTGCTGGGATTACAGGCATGAGCTACCTCGCCCAGCTGCAAATCTAATTTTTTTTTTCAGACTGTTTCACTCTGTCATCCAGACTGGAGTGCAGTGGTGCGATCTCAACTCACTACAACCTCCACGTCCCAGATTCAAGTATTCTCATGCTTCAGCCTCCTGAGTAGCTGGAATTAGAGGCACCCATCACCACACCCAGCTAATTCTTATTTAAACTTCAGGTCAGGCGCAGTGGCTGATGCCTGTAATGCCAGCACTTTGGGAGGCAAAGATGGGAGGATCATTTGAGGTCAGGAGTTCAAAACCAGCCTGGCCAACATGGTGAAACCCTATCTCTACTAAAAATACAAAAATTAGGCCAGACATGTGACTCATGCCTCTAATCCCAGCACTCTGGGAGGCCAAGGTGGGCAGATCAACTCCTGGTTTTTTTTTTTTTGAGACGGAGTCTTGCTCTATCGCCAGGCTGGAGTGCAGTGGCACAATCTTCTCGGCTCACTGCAACCTCTGCCTCCTGGGTTCAAGCGATTCTTCTGCCTCAGCCTCCCGAGTAGCTGGGACTACAGGTGGGTGTCACCACACCCGGTTAATTTTTGTATTTTTAGTAGAGACAGGGTTTCATCATGGCGAGGATGGTCTCGATCTCTTGACCTCGTGACCTCCCCGCCTTGGCCTCCCAAAGTGCTGGGATTACAGGCGTGAGCCACCACGCCCAGCCCAACTCCTGGTCTTGATCAGGAGTTCAAGACCAGCCTGGCCAATATGGTGAAACCCCATCTCTACTTCAAATACAAAAATTAGCTGGGCATGGTGGTTGGCGCCTGTAGTCCCAGCTACTTAGGAGAATCACTTGAACCCAGGAGGCGGAGATTGCAGTGAGCTGAGATCATGTCACTGCACTCCAGCCAGGGTGATAAAACAAGGCTCCATCTCTAAATAAATAAATAAATAAGGGCCAGGAGCGGTGGCTCACGCCTGTAATCCCAGCACTTTGGGAGGCCGAGATGGGTGGATCACCTGAGGTCAGGAGTTCAAGACCAGCCTGGCCAATGTGGTGAAACTCCATCTCTAAAATTAATTAATTAATTAATTTAAGCAAATAAATAAATAAAACTTCACAACTCTGTAAGATAGGCAAAGCAAGAGTTGTCTCCACTTCTTTGTGACAAAACCAGGCTGAGAGGTTGCTTAAGGGTAGTCTTACTGGAACTCCAGATGTCAGCCCCTAGACCCTATCAGCCAGTAAGTGCAGGATCCGAACTCACACCCCAGATCCGGGACCCCAGACCTTGTGCTTCTTGTCCTATAGAACCTGCCCTTTCCATCACAGTCCCAAGGTGTGCCAGAGTTGTGTACATGAAACCATCATCACAGCCACAGCTGAACACTGAATGGAAGTATAGGCCCATGGCATTCTCTGGGCTCATGGGGAGGATGTCCTGCTGCTGCAGTAGTTGGTGAGATTGTGGTGATAAGAAGAATGTTTCTGGGAATGTAGGCAAATGGTTTGGACCCAGGGACTTGCTTGGCAGTTTCTCTGGGAATCCAGAGGCAACACTGGGAAGACCCAGATCCTGCCTCATAAAGATGGCTATGCCTTGTGTTTCTAGGAAGGACGGGGGTTCTCTCCCCTCTCTGGACTCTAATCCATCACCAGCTTCCCTTTCTCCATGCAGATTACAGCCACAGCCTTCAGGAGTGACCATGGATGACTCCTTTCTCACAAAAGACAAAAGCACCCAGAAACACAAGCTTCCTCAGAAACGAAGGACACTGGTTAGTGACAGTGTTGTTTTGGAACCCCAAATGTCAGCCCCCAGGCCCTATCCAACAACCCAAGAACACCACCCACCTGAAACCTTCCTATCAGAGCGGCTTCTTCCCAGTTAGGGAGTTTGACTCACAGAGGCCAGGTCCAGCAGGCTCTGGGGAGGAGGGTGTACACTGGCTGCCTGCTCCTCATCTGAAAAGCCTTCCCAGACTTCACCAGGCAGAGAGAGACTCGCCTCTGCCCACAGACATCCCTCTCCTGCAGCTCAACATTCTGCAATGGACCTCATCTCTCATCCCTTCCGCCAACATGCCAGGCACTGTGCTAGCTGCTGGGACGGTCACACCAGATCTGCCAAGGTCCTTCAAGGCTGTGACTGCATCTTTCTGTCTTCATGGCCCTAGTATCTCACGGTACCTGAATGGCTGCCAACTGTTGACAGCTCCGTAAACGCTGAGTAGGTGTGTGAAGGCAGGAAGAAAGAGATGCGTCTCCACCATGTTCACTCAGGATCCCTCCTCCATTCCTCTTTTTTAAAGTTTTTATATAAAAATGAATGCTGGCCGGGCACAGTGGCTTAAGCCTGTAATCCCAGCACTTTGGGAGGCCAAGGCGGGTGGATCACGAGGTCAAGAGATCGAGACCATCCTGGTCAACATGGTGAAACCCCGTCTCTACTAAAAATACAAAAAAAAATTAGCCGGGCATGGTGGCGCATGCCTGTAATCCCAGCTACTCAGGAGGCTGAGGAGAGGCAGAGGTTGCGGTGAGCCGAGATCACGCCATTGCACTCCAGCCTGGGTAACAAAAGCGAAACTCCGTCTCAGAAAAAGAAAGAATGCTGTACCAAAGCTATCAGAAGATAAATGAAATTTAAATTAAAAAGCAAAAGCCGGGCACAGTGACTCATGCCTGTAATCCCAGCACTTTGAGAGGCCAAGGCAGGCAGATCACCTGAAGTCAGGAGTTCGACCAGCTTGACCAATATAGTGAAACCCCATCTCTACTAAAAATACAAAAATTAGCCAGGCATGGTGGTGCATCTGTAATCCCAGCTAGTCAGGAGGCTGAGGCACAAGAATTCCTTTAACCTGGGAGGCACAGGTTGCAGTGAGCCAAGATCACACCACTGCACTCCAGCCTGGGAGACAGAGCAAGACTCCATTTAAAAAAAAAAGCGGGGGGGGCGGGCAGAGAAATGAATGTCATCTTTTTTTTTTTGAGACAGGCTTTTGCCTGTCAGGGTGTAGTGGTGCAATCATGCCTCACTGCAGTCTCAAATGCCTGGGCTCAACTGATCCTCCCACTTCACCCTCCCAAGTAGCTGGGACTATAGGCACATGCCACCATAGCCAGCTAATTTTTTTTTTTTGAGACAGGGTTTTGCTTTGTCGTTCCATGGCCCAAACATAGCTCACTGCAGACTCGACCTCTGATACTCAAGCAGTCCTCCCACTCAGCCTCCTGAGTAGCTGGGACTGCAGGAGTGCGCCACCACACCTGGCTAACTATGTTACCCAGGCTGGTCTTGAACTCCTGGGCTCAAGCTATCCTCCTTGCTTGCTCTCCCAAAGCACTGGGATTACAGGTGTCAGCCACTGCACCCAGCCCAATGCTGTCTTATTGAGTACTTTGGGGCTCTTGTTGATATAATCATAGGATTATCATTAATCAGCAAATAACCATTGTCCAAATCTCGTAAGGGAAAAAAACGCATTTGAGTAAACTTACAACTCTGGCTCACAGTGGAACAGCCTGGGTTGTATGCTGGTTTTCCCTGAGTGACCATAACCCACCTGGGGAATTTGGAAACATGGCCACACACTTTGTGGGGCTGGGGACTCCCAACACTCCTGCAGGAGTGACTCCAGGGAGGAGAAAGGGGGGGCAGTATGAATTCTTCGCTGAGACCAACAGCAGAAAGACCTGATGACTAGGGGCGAGCTCTGACACTCCCTGGCAGCCTCCGCATCTGCCACCTCCTCTGTGGGCCAGGCTTTTTAATTCCCACTTTCTTTTCTGCGACATCAAACACCAGGGGGCAGTGTAGTCCCGTCCCACCCACCCTGCCATCCCTGGGGGCCGCCTTCCCATTTTCACCTACAGGGGGAAGCAGAGAGCTTGGAACGCCTGGGAGCACTGCATCCCAGCCTCTGGGGCGGAGATCCCTCAGCTGTTAATAACCTCGTCAAGACGCGGCCGTGGCAGCTGGTTCTCCCAGCTTCCACTTGCCTCTGCAAGCAAAGGAGGGTGGCCATGTTTTCTCCCGGTAGAAACAGCAGACAGAACATGATGGCTGGTCTTTTAATAGTCTGAAAAAACGGCAGGGCGTAGTGGCTCAGGCCTGTAATCTCAGCACTTTGGGAGGCCAAAGTGGGTGGATCACCTGAGGTCAGGGGTTCAAGACCAGCCTGAGCAACATGGTGAAACCCTGTCCTACTAAAAATTAGCTGAGTGTGATGGCGCATGCCTATAGTATAGTACCAGCTATTTGGGAGGCTGAGGCAGGAGAATCACTTGAACCTGGGAAGTGGAGGTTGCAGTGAGCCGAGATCATTCCATTGCACTCCAACCTGGGCAACCAGAGCGAAACTCCATCTCAAATTAAAAAAAAAAAAAAAATTGGGCCGGGCACTCTGGCTCACGCCTGTAATCCAGCACTTTGGGAGGCTAAGGTAGGTGGATCACCTGAGATCAGGAGTTCGAGACCAGCTTGGTCAACATGGTGAAACCCCCATCTCTACTAAAATACAAAAATTAGCTGGGCGTGGTGGCAGGAGCCTGTAATCCCAGCTACTAGGGAGGCTAAGGAAGGGGAATTGCTTGAACCCAGAAGGTGGAGGTTGCAGTGAGCCGAGATCGCACCACTGCACTATAGCTTGGGCAACATATCAAGACTCCGTCTCAAAAAAATAAATACATAAAAAGGAAAGAAGAAATAGTTCTCTCAATACATAAAGAACAGCATAACTCCAGACATGATGGAGATATATAAGAATGCTCATGCTGCTATACGAGAGAATCCAGTCTATGAAAAGAAGCCCAAGGAAGAAGTTAAAAAGAAGAGGTGGAACTGTCCCAAAATGTCCCTTGCTCAGAAGAAAGATCAGGTAGCTCAAAAGAAGGCAAGCTTCCTCAGAGCTCAGGAGCAGGCTACTAAGAGCTAAACCAAACAATTTTCTATAAGGATTTTTCAGATAAAGACAATAAACTTATGGACAGCAACTAAAAAAACAAAACAAACAAACAAAAAACAATACTTGTTTTAAAAACAGTCTGAAAAACAAGGCTGGGCTCAGGCCTGTTCCTAACACTTTGGGAGGCCAAAGAGGGAAGACTGCTTGAGACCAGAAATTTGAGACCAATCTGGCAACATAGGGAGAATTCATCTCTACAAAAAAAAATTTTTTTTTGAGAGTCCCGCCCTGTTATCTAGGCTGGAGTACAGTGGCACGATCTGGGCTCACTGCAACCTCCGCCTCCTGGGTTTAAGATTCTTCGGCCTCACCCTCCCAAGCAGCTGGGACTACAGGCACGTGCCACCACATCCGGCTAATTTATTGTATTTTTAGTAGAGACGGGTTTCACCATGTTAGCCAGGATGGTCTCAATCTCCTGACCTTGTGATCCACCTGTCTCGGCCTCCCAAAGTGAGCCACTGCTCCCGGCCCCGAAAAAGATTTTTTAATTAGCCAGGAGTGATGGTGCACCCCTGTAGTCCCAGCTACTTGGGAGACTGAGGTGGGAGGATCTCTTGAACCCGGGAGTTTAAAGTTACTGTGAGCTGTTATCAGGTCACTGCATTCCAGTCTGGGTGAGAGTAAGACCCTGTCTCTAAAAAAATAAAAATAAACTCCCAGGTGTCTTCCAGGGTTGTTTTGTGCTTTCATAAAAATTAGGCTGGATGCCGTGACTCAAGCCTGTAATCCCAGCACTTTGAGAGGACAAGGCAGGAGGAGCTCTTTTTTTTTTAAAGACGGGGTTTCACCATGTTGGTCAAGCTGGTCTCGAACTCCTGACCTAAGGTGATCCGCCCACCTTGGCCTCCAAAGTGCTTGGATTACAGGCGTGAGCCACCGCGCCCAGCCAGGAGGAGCTCTTGATCCCAGGAGTTGGAAACCAGCCTGGGCAACATAGTAAGACCCCTATCTCTCTTTCTCTTTTTTTTTTTTTTATACAGAGTTGCTCCATTGCCCCAGCTGGAGTGCAATGGTGTGATCTCTACTCACGGCAGCTTCTACCTCCAGGGTTCAAGCAATGTTTCTGCCTCAGCCCCCTGAGTAGCTGGGATTACAGGCGTGTGCCACTAGGCCCAGCTAATTTTTGTATTTTTAATAAGATTGGTTTCAACATGTTGGCCAGGCTGGTTTCAAATTCCTGGCCTCAGGTTATCTGCCTGCCTCCGCCTCCCAAAGTGCTAGGATTACAGGCGTGAGCAAGGCACAATGACTCACACCTGTAATCTCTACTAAAAATACAAAAGAACCAGGTGTGGTGGTGGACACCGATAATCCTAGCTACTTGAGAGGCTGAGGCAGGAGAATCCCTTGAACTTGGGAGGAGTAGGCTGCAGTGAGCAGAGATCACACCACTGCACTCCAGCAGGAGCAACAGAGTGAGACTCGGTCTCAAATAAATAAATACATACATACAGCTAGGCGCAGTGGCTCACGCCTGTAATCCCAACACTTTGGGAGGCCAAGGTGGGCAGATCACGAGGTCTGGAGTTTGAGGCAAGCCTGACCAACATAGTGAAATCCTGTCTCTACTAAAAATACAAAAGTTAGCTGGGTGTGATGGCAGACACATGTAATCCCAGCTACTCAGAAGGCTGAGGCAGGAGAATCACTTGAACCTAGGAAGCGGGGATTGCAGTGAGCAGAGAATGTGCCACTGCATTCCAGCCTGGGCAACAGAGCAAGACTCAGTCTTGAAAAAATACATACATACATACAAGCATAATTTACATCCATTTTGATAGTCTTTTTCTTTTTTTGAGATGGAGTTCACTCTTGTCCCACGCCCAGCTGGAGTGCAGTGGTGCAATCTCGGCTCACTGCAACCTCTGCCTTCCAGGTTCAAGCAATTCTCCTGCCTCAGCCTCCCAAGTAGCTGGGATTACAGGCATGCGCCACCATGCCCGGTAATTTTTGTATTTTTAGTAGAAACAGGGTTTCACAATGTTGCCCAGGCTGGAGTGCAGTGGCGCCATCTCAGCTTGCTGCAACCTCTACCTCCCGGGTTCAAGCAATTCTCCTGCCTCAGCTGAGTATCTGGGACTACAGGCACACCACCTTGCCCAGCTAATTTTTGTAATTTTTTTTAAAGTAGAGATGGGGTTTCACCATACTGGTCAAGCTGGTCTCGAACTCCTCACCTCTGGTAATCCATTTACTTTGGCTTGCCAAAATCTAGGATTATAGATGTGAACCACTGTGCCTGGGCCAGTTCTCTTGCTTTTCAAGCTACCAGAGGTGCCGTTCCTTAAGGCTTTCCTTCCTAGTAACAAAAGTATTTTAAGAGCATGAAGCACACAGAAGCAATTAAAATAAGTGCCTTGGCCAGAAGTGGTAGCTCACGCCTGTAATCCCAGCAATTTGGGAGGCCGAGGTGGGCAGATCACAAGGTCAAGAGATTGAGACCATCGTGGCCAACATGGTGAAACCCCCTCTACTAAAAATACAAAAATTGGTGGCTGGGCGCGGTGGCTCACGCCTATAATCCCAGCATTTTGGGAGGCCGAGGTGGGTGGATCACATGGTCAAGAGATTGAGACCATCCTGGTCAACATGGTGAAATCCCATCTCTACTAAAAATACAAAAATTAGCTGGGCATGGTGGTGCATGCCTGTAGTCCCAGCTACTTGGGAGGCTGAGGCAGGGGAATCACTTGAACCCGGGAGGTGGAGGCTGCAGTGAGCTGAGATCGCATCACTGCACTCTAGCCTGGGCAACAAAGCAAGAATCCATCTAAAAAAAAAAAAAAAAGATAAAAATAAACAAACCCCATTTCTACTAAAAATACAAAAAATTAGCCAGGCATGGTGGCACATGCCTGTAATCCCAGCTACTCAGGAGGCAGGAGGCAGAAGAATTGCTTGAACCCAGGAGGTAGAGATTGCAGTGAGCCGAGATCATGTCATTGCACTCCAGGTTGGTCAATGAGAGCAAAACTCCAACTCAAAAATAAATAAATAAATAAAATTAAATCCCTCAGGTGGGTGCAGTGATGCCCACCTGTAGTCCCAATTACTTGGGAGACTGAAGCTGGAGGATGCTTATATCTATGAGTTTGAGGCTATAGTCAGCTATGATCTTGCTTGTGTAAAGCTGCTGCACTCCAGGCTGGGCAACATAGCAAGACCCCATCTCTTAAAAAAGACACACACAATCAACAGCTGTGTTCCTACCTTGTTGGTGCCACCTAGGCAGTCTATTACCCCTGCCACACATGTGTGCGTGCACACACACACACACACACACACTCCCAAAGTGACCTCACCTCCTCCCATGCGCTCATTTGAGCTTTATTGAACATCACTGACATCACCACTTCCTCCTCTGAGATGACCAGCTGGCCCCCACCATGAGGGCACCCACCCTCCTACAGCCTGCATTGACTTCAGTCACTACCTGCTCTCTTGTGATCATCAGTTCACTTGTTACCACCTGCCCCACTCCATCATATTCTCAACTTCCCTCATGTTCCTAGAACTCAGTAGGACCTAGGATGTACTATGGGACAGAAATGTTTGGTAAGCAAACAAATGACTGAATGGATGAAACTCTAGCAGTGAGCTTGACTGGATTGGGTCATAATTTTTCTCCATGCTATGAGTATTTCCTGAAAAGATTAAAAAACAGCCCATAGATACTACTGTTTTCTACACAAACCAGTGCTCAAGGTTCAAAATAAGAGCTCATTCCTAGGGAACCCTCGCCTATTTCCCCCTCCCCGGGGGGATAACCCAGTCTCTTCCCAGAGTCCATAGCTTACCCTGCTGTCTCTTTCTTTCTTCCTTTTCTTAAGAGATGGGGGGTCTCACTATGTTGCCAGGGCTGGTCTCAAGCTCCTGGGCTCAAGAGATCTTCCTACCTCCACCTCCCAAATTGCTGGGGTTACAGGCGTGAGCCACCACATCCGTGGCCTGCCCTGCTGTATCTATAGTTCTGTTTGTCTGTCAGTCCGGCTGGGCCTACCCTCCTCTATCTCTGTCTTATTAGCTGGACTGTGCTATGGGAGCTGTTTTATGTGGGCCTTGGGGACAGGTGCCCACCCATGGACAACTGACCAGTTTCCAGGGAGGGACAGGTGGGGTTACCATGGCAATACTGCTCCCCTTCTGAATATTCCTGGTATTCCTTAGGGCTGCTTCCCCACCGGTACTTATATTGGTCTTGGGAGCACAGGTATTCAATACCCCGACATACCTGCGGAAGAGAATAGCTGGTCTTTTTTTTTTTTTTTTTGATATGGCGTTTTGCTCTTGTCACCCAGGCTGGAATGCAGTGGCAGGATCTCGGCTCACTGCAACCTCTGCCTCCTGGGTTCAAGTGATTCTCCTGCCTTAGCCTCCCAAGTAAGTGGGATTACAGGCATGTGCGACCACACCTGGCTAATTTTTGTATTTTTAGTAGAGATGGGATTTCGCTTTGTTGGCCAGGCTGGTATCGAACTCCTGACCTCAGGTGATCTGTCCGCCTTGACCTTCCAAAGTGCTGGGATTACAGGTGTGAGCCACAGTACTTGGCCAGAATGGCTGATTTTTACTGAATTCCTAGCAGGTGCCAGAGTCCATGTAAAGCACATATTATGCTTTCTCATTTCACCCTCACATCAATACACTAGGATGAAAACTACCATCATCCCTATTTTACAGACGTGAAGACTAAGGCTCAGAGAAGTTGTAACATAGCTAATGAGGGACATTTGAGAACCCAAGCCCCCTCTAACTCAATAACCCACAGTCCTAATTATGATCTATGTTGAGAGATGTTTGTAGAAAACGTCAGGACTAGGGGAGGAGAGATGGAGAGGAATATTAGGTAGGGGAGCAATTTTGCCATGGTAACCTCACCTGTCCTCCCTGCAGACTGGTCAGTTCTCCATGGGTGGGCACCTGTCCCCATGGCCCACATTCACCAGTGGCCAGACCATTTTGCAAAATCGAAAACCCTGTTCAGATGACTACCGGATGCAAGCAGGGTAAGCCAAGGTCAGTCCCATGGTGGGTGGGCTGACATGGGCCAGGCATTGGGCCAGGAGACAGGGCAGTGGCGTGTGTTGCCCCAGAGCAAGGGTGCAATGGCTCCCATGGGGGTGCTGGCCACATATCAGCCATCATCTCCTGCAGGAGCTGCCAGCAACACCCCTTTCACACTGCCAAGCCCCAGTTCCTGGAGAAGCTGGAAACCTACCTACGCAAGGAGCTCCTCCTGCTGGACGTGGGCACGGATTCCACCGAGGAACTGAGGTTGCAGGTCAGAGCCACAGAAGAAATGTGGGGAGGTCAGAGGAAAAGGGTGAAAAGAAGCCTCACCTACCAGCTGGGCACAGTGGCTCATGCCTGTAATCTCAGCACTTTGGGAGACCGAGGCGGGCGGATCACCTGAGGTTCAGGAGTTCGAGACCAGCCTGGCCAACATGGTGAAAACCCGTCTCTACTGAAAGTATGAAAATTAGCTGGGCATGGTGGCAGGCACCTGTAATCCCAGCTACTCAGGAGGCTGAAGCAGGAGAATCGCTTGAACTTGGGAGGCAGAAGTTGCAGTGAGCCAAGATTGAGCCACTACACTCCAGCCTGGGTGACAAGAGTGAGACTTCGTCTCAAAAACAAAAACAGGCTGGGCACGGTGGCTCACGCCTATAATCCCAGCACTTTGGGAGGCTGAGGCAGGTGGATCATGAGGTCAAGAGATCGAGACCATCCTGGTCAACAAGGTGAAATCCCGTCTCTACTAAAAATACAAAAAAATTAGCTGGGTGTGGTGGCGCGTGCCTGTAGTCCCAGCTACTCGGGAAGCTGAGGCAGGAGAATTGCTTAAACCCAGGAGGTGGAGGTTGCGGTGAGCAGAGATCGTGCCATTGCACTCTAGTCTGGGTAACAACAGCAAAACTACGTCTCAAAAAAAAAGAAAAGAAACCTCAACTACCAGGACTGAGTACCTCAGACCTTCAAGGGAGACTCGCTTCTCCCAGCTCCTGGGTCTCCTTCCCTGAAGAGAAGCAGGAAACATCCTATGAAAATGCCAGTGAGGCCAGGTACAGTGTCTTACACCTGTAATCCCAGCACTTTGGGAGGCCAAGGCAGGAGGATCGCTTGAGGTCAGGAGTTCAAGACCAGCCTGGCCAACATGGTAAAACCCCACCTTTACTAAAAATATAATACTGCACAGTGATTCACACCTGTAATCCCAGCACTTTGGGAGGCTGAGGCGGGCAGATCACCTATTCGAGACCAGCCTGACCAACAATGGAGAAACCCCATCTCTACTAAAAATACAAAAAATTAGCCAGGCGTGGTAGCACAATGCCTGTAATCTCAGCTACTCGGGAGGCTGAGGCAGGAGAACTGCTTGAATCTGGGAGACAGAGGTTGCAGTAAGCCACGATTGTGCCATTGCACTCCAGCATGGGCAACAAGAGCGAAATTCTGTCTGGAAAAAAAAAAAAAAACCACCTGGAGTGGTGGCACACACCTGTACTCCCAGCTACTCAGGAGTCTGAGGCAGAAGAATAACTTGAACCCAGGAGGCAGAAGTTGCAGTGAGGCAAGATCACGCCACTGCACTCCAGCCTGGGCAACAGAGCGAGACTCTGTCAAAAAAAAAAAAAAAAAAGAAAGAAAAGAAAAGAAAACGCCAGTGAGCAGGCAAGGCTGCAATGTGGATACAGAAGTCTTTTGAAGCTGGAGTTTCCTCACTGAGTCAGGTGGCCTGGATGCTGTGCCCAGTCCTTACAGATGTGTGAGCCCCAATGCCCAGGTTAGGTCACTGGATGTCAGTGAACGAAGCCCCTAAATGCCAGAAGTTGGGCAAGCAGGGGTCACACTGTGTTCACCAGTCCAGTGGCAACAACCCCAAGCTTAAGGAACCAGCTCAGATGCATAAGGAGAGAGAGAGAGACAGACAGACAGAAAGAGAAAGATCAGATCCAACCCAGATTTCAGTGTATATTAGAGAAGGAATCATCAAATCTGCTCAAACAAGGATGATGACAGAGAATCCCTACCTTTTGACTTAGTCATTGACTAAAACATTTACTGAGAACTGGCTTCTGAGCAGATAAGGAAGGCATACCACTATGGTGCTGTGGGGGTGGGCTTCAAACTCAAGCCTGACTCTGGAGACTGTGTTCATTCCAGTGAGCAATGCTGCCTCCAGAAACCTCCCATGCATCCAAATGAGATGGGACCACACCCCTACTTGGATGTCAGTATGCAAGGGTACAACCTTCAATCTCCTGCCTCTACAAATCTCCTGCATCTACCAGGCTCTAAGATGGGGAGCAGTTATAAGTGAGAGGCCAATGATGCAGTGTCTAGAAGGCAAGAGGCTGGCTGCCTGGAGAGCCAGAGAGGGGCTCAGACACAGAGTGGAGGTCTGTCCATGGCCATGGCAGTCCACTAAGCCTCAGAGACAGCACTAGGACAGGCCTCCAGAGAGCTGCCCCCCAGGCTCTGTGGCACTGTGAGGTACGCGGGTGCTCACGTGGTGTCTAGGACATTTACTTGAATATAAGTGACCTGGCTGCCTCATGCCAGAACACTTCTAAGCCCAGTAAAGAAAAACACAGATCCCTACTAAGGGTGGCAGCTATGGGCCAGGAGATGATGGGTTCCCTTTTCTTGCCAGCCTTACAGAGAGACCTTTGAGTTCTTCATAGAGGACTTCAAAACATACAAGCCATTACTATCCTCCATCAAGAATGCCTACGAGAGGATACTGGGTAAGAATGCATCTCCCGCCAGGCCCAGTGGATCACGCCTGTAATCCTAGCACTTTGGGAGGCCAAGGCAGGTGGATCACTTGAGGTCAGGACTTTGAGACCAGCCTGGCCAACATGGTGAAATCCCCACTCTCTACTAAAAACACACAAAAAAATTAGCCATGCATGGTGTAATTCCAGCTACTTGGAAGGGTAAGGCAGGAGAATTGCTTGAACTGGGAGGTGGAAGTTGCAGCGAGTGGAGATCACATCACTGTACTCCAGCCTGGGTGAAAGAGCAAGACACCATCTCAAAAATAAAATAAAAAAGAATGAAGCTCCCCTCCTGGGCCCAGCTGGAAAGGGTAGAGAAGATCCTATTTGACCTTCTGGGGCTCCACAGCAGGACTGGGGCACCTACCAACTGGGCCTTGAGGTCACCAAGCCCCCTCAGCCATTCTGCACAGACTGTTCTGTGATAGGGTGGCCCAGGCACCTGACCACCCCTGTCCTTGAAAAGCACAGTGGGGCAGTCCCTGTTGAAAATGGAGTGAAGCCCAGGAGAGAATGAGCACCCTTAGGAGTCAGCAGTCTCCTCTGCCAGGCTCAGAAGGTACAGGGCATGGTGCAGCTGCAGGACTTAAGGCTATAGGGGAAAGGACATAGGAGAGACCCCGGTCCTCATCTGAACTTTGCCCTTGGTTTAAAATCAAGTGCAGGCCAGTCGTGGGGGGTCATGCCTGTAATCCTAGCAATTTGTGAGGCCAAGATGAGCAAATCACAAGGTCAAGAGATTGAGACCATCTTGGGCAACATGGTAAAACCCTGTCTCTACAAAAAATACAAAAATTAGCTGGGCGTGGTGGTGTGTGCCTGTAGTCCCAGCTACTCAAGAGGCTGAGGCAAGAGAATCGCTTGAACCCAGTAGGCGGAGGTTGCAATGAGCCAAGATCATGCCACTGCACTCCAGCCTGGCGATAGAATGAGACTCCATCTCAAAAAAAAAAAAAAAGGAAAATAAATAAAATGAAGTGCAGGAAGGCCTGAAGCAAGGACCATGCTTTGAACAAGGCATGCAAAGATTCCTGGAGTTTTCAAACCACATAGCCACTCACCCATGACCTTCTGGCTGTTAATTCTCCATGGCCCCAAAGCAGCTCACCCTTCTATCTCTTCTTAGCCCACCAAAGGGAGAAGATTCGGGCTTTGGAGGCTTTGAAGGCCAAGCTTGTCATTGTGAATGAGGAATGCAACGAGAGGATCCTGGCCATGAGGGCTGAGGAGAGACATGAAATCTCCCTGCTCAAAAAAGAGAAGATGAATTTGCTAAAATTCATCGACAAAAAGAATGAGGAGATGATCTCATTGCAGAGTCAGGTGAATAGAAGTGGTATGATGACCAAGTCCCTGAATTCCTGCCAACCCCACCATGAGGGTGACCCCCTACCCAGCTCTGCCTTTCTACAGGGAATGACACACTGAGCCACTACCTTCCCCCAGAGCCTTGCTAACTCCACCCTCTGCCCTGCTGCTTGGCTCAGAACTTTCCCCATAGGGGGAAGCATTGACACCTTGCAGAATTCTCAGAAATGGCTAATCTTCTTCCTTCACCTTTCCTGTTCGCAGGCCCTGATGGGGCCACCCAGCACCCAGCCTACTCCCTGGGGTGGCCAGCTGCATACAGGGGTCCAGGGGCAGCCCCTGACCACATTAGCTACCTTCTCCACAGGTGACCAAACTGAGGAAGAACTTGGCTGAGGAGTACCTGCACTACCTCAGTGAGCGAGATGCCCGCAAGATCCTCATCGCAGACCTGAACAAGCTGCGGTACCAGCAGGAGGACATGTCGTTAGCCCAGTCCCCAGGTAAGCATGAGTCAGGTTTCTCTCTTCCCTGAGATACTGGAGGAGTCTGGCCTCACCTCTAAGCCCCATTCATTCAACATTCGTAAGACCTGCTCATTCCATAACCACTCAGGTGGAGATGTCCCTGCCTCCCTCAGGGCTGTGGATCTTCTAAGCTAAACAGAATTATAAGAACACAGTTGATAGCTGAGACAGCCTAGGCTTCTGGTGGGCTGGACAGGCCTGATACTCCATTTCCTGGGTTTCTAGACTTTAGCCTGAAACCCTAGGCTGGTAGCACTGTAGGCAAGACCCAGGGAACCCCAAGCAGGGAGGGCAGAGGGCTTCAGGCAACCCCTGAGAGATACTATAACCTAGCCCCGGACTACCAGCCCTAGAGCTAGGGTGACATGGGCTGTTGGACCTCCTCCCCTGGCAGGCATCTGGGGGGAGGATCCGGTGAAGTTAACCCTGGCTCTGAAGATGACTCGGCAAGACCTGACCCGCACGCAGATGGAACTCAACACCATGAAGGCCAACTTTGGAGACGTAGTCCCCAGGAGGGACTTTGAAACGCAGGAGAAGACCAATAAGGATCTTCAGGAGCAGGTGCTGGCGGGCAGGTGGGGGCCAGGAGGGTAGCACAGGGGCTCGCAGGTGGGAGACCAGGGCCAATGTCCTTGCCCACAGCTGGACAGCCTGAGAGCCAGCTATGAGGAGGTCCGGAAAGAGCACGAGATCCTGATGCAGCTGCACATGAGCACGCTGAAGGAGCGGGACCAGTTCTACTCCGAACTGCAGGAGATCCAGCGCACTTCCACACCACGGCCTGACTGGAGCAAGTGTGAAGGTGAGGGCGGCTGGCAGGGTCCTGGGTCCTGCTCACCTGCGGGCCTGGACTCTAGACCCCTCTTCTCACCTGCAGATGTGGTGGCCGGGGGCCCAGAGCGCTGGAAGATGCTGGCCGAGGGCAAGAACAGCGACCAGCTGGTGGATGTGCTCCTGGAAGAGATTGGCTCGGGGCTGCTGCGGGAGAAAGACTTCTTCCCTGGTCTGGTAGGGGAGGGCCCAGGAGCAGAGCTTGGGCCAGTCAGAACAGCCATGCCTTGCTGCTGAGATGAGCTTTTGGGGAACCATCTTGGACTCTTCCCTGTTTGGGGGTGGGGCCACAGATGGGTCCAGAGATGAGCTGACACCCTCCCACCTAGGGCTACGGGGAAGCCATCCCTGCTTTTCTTCGGTTTGATGGCCTTGTGGAGAACAAGAAGCCAAACAAGAAGGACGTGATCAACCTCCTCAAGGATGCCTGGAAGGAACGTCTTGCAGAGGAGCAGGTTTGATCTCACTAGCCACTCTGGCCCAGCATGGTCTTCAGATCCAGAGTGCAGGTCCAGAGGTGCCAGGGAGGAGGGCTGACCAACCCTAAGGCAGGCTGACTGAGCATTTCCCTGATCTTGCAGAAAGAGACATTCCCAGATTTCTTCTTCAATTTCCTGGAGCATCGCTTTGGGCCCAATGATGCCATAGCCTGGGCTTACACTGTTTTTGAAAATATCAAGCTCTTCCATTCCAACGAGGTTATGAGTCAGTTCTATGCAGTCTTGATGGGAAAGGTGAGCCGGGGCCTATTCCCCTTGGGGAGATTGAGAGGGGTCTTTGTCTGCCCCCAACACTCCAGGGAACTTTGAGTAATGCTTCTCTCCTTACAGTGGAGTGAGAATGTATACATCACCCAGAAGGAGACAGTAGCCCAGCTGCTGAAGGAGATGACAAATGCTGACAGTAAGAATGAGGGGCTACTAACCATGGAGCAGTTCAGGTGAGAGGCTGGTCCAGGCCACCCCCAACTCCTACCTAATTATTCCTGCATCTGCAGGGAAAAGGAGCACCTGGTGGGAAGGGCTACATCCTCGGAACTCACTCTCTTTTGAGCACTAGGGAGAGGCAAGGACAGACCTCAGCAGGTCCCTGTTGGCCGTCATGTTTCCCCCATAGCACTATCCTCAAGAGTACCTTCCCTCTCAAGACAGAAGAGCAAATCCAGGAGCTGATGGAGGCAGGGGGCTGGTATCCCAGCAGCAGCAATGCAGACTTGCTCAACTACCGCTCACTGTTTATGGAGGTGGGTGTGTGTGGGTCCAGGGACTGGTCTGGCCCCTGCCCTAGCCTTGGCTGGACCCAAGCCAATGTGCCCTCCCTCTGACTTGTGGCCCCTCCCAGGACGAGGAGGGCCAGAGTGAGCCCTTTGTGCAAAAGCTCTGGAAACAATACATGAATGAAAAAGCCGAGTATTTACAGCAGCTAAAGCAGGAGCTGTGCAAAGAACTGTGAGTGACCCTCATCTATAGATGAGTCCCACAGGCTGGGCACCTCAGGCCCCTGGGTCTCCCTGTGCACTGCGCACCATCCACTGCTCAAGCCCAGCAGAGAGGAGGGCACCTGGCTCACGCCTATAATGCCAGCACTCTGGGAGGCCAAGATGGGCGGATCACCTGAGGTCAAGAGTTCAAGACCACCCTGGCCAACATGACAAAACCCCCTCTCTACTAAAAATACAAAAATAAGCTGGGTGTGGTGGTACACACCTATAATCCCAGCTACTCGGGAGGCTGAGGCAGGAGAACTGCTCCAACCCAGGAGGCAGAGGTTGCAGTGAGCCAAGATTGAGCCACAGCACTCCACCCTGGGCAACAGAGTGAGACTCCGTATCATTAAAAAAAAAAAAAAAAAGGGAGGAGGGCACCTGGGAGTCTGGGGCACAGAAAGGAAGGGTCAGAAGCTCTCACTTTCTTTTCCTGTGGGGCAGCCATGAGGTGGTGACTCTGCCCAAGCTGCGAGGGGCCCTGATGAGCATCGACCCCAGCCTGGACAAGCAGACTGTGAACACTTACATAAGCCAGGCCTTCCAGCTCCCTGAGTCACAACTGCCAGAGGAGGGTGACGAGAAGGAAGAGGGCATTGTGGAAATCCTCCAGACTGCCCTGGAGCGGCTTCAGGTGATTGACATCAGGCGTGTGGGGCCTCGAGAGCCAGAGCCTGCAAGCTAGGACCCTGCAGGCAGCCTTTGTACTCCAGTACTGCTAAGCGTGGGCTTTTAGTATAAAAGTGTTTGTCTGAACCCATTGCATTCTCCAGGCTGTGCTGGGGAGTTGTGAGAAGGTGGATCAGTCCCCACCTCGCTGGCCCGGACATGTACCAAAATGCAGAATATTCTGTGTATGACACTTTATTGATGCTAGGGGGTAGGGAGGAGACCTAGAGAAATATGTGGGGCCAAGGGGTCCCAGGTGGGGACAGAGAAAGTGGAGAGGCCCAGCCACTACTGTGCAGGGAAGACAGAGTTGCCACTGGACGCACAGGGAATGAGGAGCTGCCGGTACTCCAGGGGCAGGTACCGCTCCACTAGCACATGTAGCGAGACTTGGTCGGTGACCAGGCCCTGCCTGCAGTGGAGGAGGAGAAAGCACGGGCAGAATCAGCACCAGCACTCCCCTAGCCAACAAGCCCCCCACCCGCCTTCCGCCCTCTCACCGCCGCATCAGCAGCTCAACATCCTCTGGGTTCACAGTCTTGCGGCCAGCATGAGCAGCAAATACCTCCAGGTCGTCACAAAGATGCTGGAAATATTTATCTAGGCTGCCAAGAAGGTGAGGATAGAGCAGGCTGAACAGTCTGATCACGACCGAAGGGGTTCCTTTCCCTACACCACATCCCCAGGACTCACCACTTCTCTACCATCTCAAGAGCCTTCCTCTCCATGGGCATCTTGGCATAGAAGCTAAAAAGTTTGACGTAGTGGCTCAGTCCAGCCTTGTGGGGATCTTGCTGGGGTCTGGGGCCAGTGGTCCCGGGCTTAGGGGGACGCCTGACCAAGAGAGGCTCCGCAGGCTCTGAAGATAAGCTGAGGACAGGAGTAGACAGAGGGGCTGAACTACTGCCTCAGGAAGCCCCTATTCGAGGGCAACTCTTGCTGGCTCCTGCTGAGGCTGGAGACCATGAAGCTCTTGGACAGCCAGGACCAGCAGCCCTGACCACCTGCTGAGGGGCAGTCAGGTCAGGGGGCCAAACAGAGGCCGGTCTTTGCCTAGGGCTTGTTCCTCCACAGTCGACTCAACCTCCTAGCTCAGGCTTATTATCTATATTGGTACCTGCTTGGGCCCATGATCCCAGACCTCAGAATGGACAGTCTCTCCCCTCACTCTATGGCTGCCTGTCCTGATTCTGCTAATCCTCCTGCAGGAAGCCTTCTCTGACTACAAACCAACCACATACTTTCCCCTCACCAAGTCTCCTCTAAGCCCTGGAGGCAGGCACCAGGATGGCAGGGGTGCTCTCGGTGAGCCCTCCCCAGCCCAGGTCAGGCTGCACTGCTGGGTAATCATCTACATACCCGTGGGAACGGGGAGGACCCTGTGTACATGGTGTACCCAATGCCCCCTTCCCAAGAGGCCCAGGAGGAATGGGGTTGTGGGATCTTACACTGCAGCACCAGGTGGTGGGTCTGGCTCAAGAAACTGATGATGTCGCCTAGCCTGGAGAGACTCAGGGGTGCTGGAGACCAACTCTGGACTTGCTGCAGAGGAAATAGGGTGGGGTCACAGGGATCCCAGGCCAACTATCTTTTTTTTTTTTTTTTTTTTGAGACGGAGTTTCGCTCTTGTTACCCAGGCTGGAGTGCAATGGCGCGATCTCGGCTCACCGCAACCTCCTCCTCCTGGGTTCAGGCAATTCTCCTGCCTCAGCCTCCTGAGTAGCTGGGATTACAGGCACGCGCCACCATGCCCAGTAATTTTTTGTATTTTTAGTAGAGACGGGGTTTCACCATGTTGACCAGGATGGTCTCGATCTCTTGACCTCGTGATCCACCCGCCTCGGCCTCCCAAAGTGCTGGGATTACAGGCTTGAGCCACCGCGCCCGGCCCCCAGGCCGACTATCTTACCCAAGCTAGCACAGTCACAGTATTTCTGTCCTGTTTCTGGTGGGCCCCACCTAGCTCCAGCCAAGCAGGTGCCTCTCAGAGTCTCCCTGGCCCCCTACCACCACCAGTGTCTGGAAACACAACCCAGGCAATGCCCTTCTGTGTGCTGGGGCCTGAACACAGCTGTCACCAGCCACCCCCTGCACTGGGCCTCTTACCTGCCCTGTCAGAGGCATCTTCATCCCCTGAAGATGCTCCTGGTCCCTTGGCCTCAGCAGTCTCCTGGGATTCCTCTGCTTCTATCACCTGTGTGTGTCCCTCAGGCTCTTCTGCCCTGCTGGGTCCTTGTGCTCCTGTCGCCTCCATTTCACTCACACTCACGCCTTCTTCTTCCATCCTTTTCTCTGCCTCTTCAACTCCATCCTGTAAGGGTTCTACTCCATCTTCTCCAGAGACACCACTGCTAGTGCTCAGGAAATCCAGAGCAAAGGCATCAACCTCCTCTGCCTCTCCTGCCAGGAACTGGGCTGGTTTCTCAGGGCCTGAGTGAAGGGGAGAGAATACAGGCTGGAGTTGCAGTAGGCCAAGGCTACATAGCTCAGAGAAGGGTAAAGACGGACCAGCAGACCCAGCCCTGCCCACTGAAGAAAGACAAAGCCAGAGTCAGCAGCAGGACATGGATCTGGAGCCTCTGGCCCAACATGGACTCTGCTCTTGGATGGAGGAGGCAGCCACAGCCAGGGGGTTTCTAAGGGCATACAGGGGCTTGAGGATGGAAAATCACCATTGTCAACTCTCACCCAAGCTAAGCTTGGGTCCAGGCCACAGGCACCACATACTCACTGTTGGTCTGCATTCCAGGCCCACTGCTCCGTGTCTTGCAACCGGCAGCCAGCTCAGCGTCTTTGGCCCCAGTGTGAGGCATGCAGGGCAGGGAGCGATACACGCGGCGGGAGCAGCCAACTGTAGGCTGAGAGAAGGGCTGGGTATCCTCCAACACAATGTCTGTGGGCGGAGTAGTAACAGGTTCTGAGGCTGTGTCACCTGGAGATCAGGGGCCAGCTGCCTCTCAGTGTATTCCAGGCCCACCTGCTGCTACTCTGTGTTGCTAGGGCCTGGACAGTGGGCCCTATGGGTCCACCCTGAGTGGCCTTCAGAAAAAGAAGACGACCTAGCACGCGAGGCCTTATCTCCCATAGCCCTCCTTGCTTACCTTCCTGTTCCTCTGCCTGGCATTCCCAGGCCCCCACAGCTGCCTGCCCACCAGCTGCCCACCCAAAAAACCTCTTTGCTGCTCGCTCTGCTCCTTCTGCCCAAACCCCCTTCTTACCCTGGTGAACTTGTTTTCTGCAATGAGGGTCTCAGGCCAGCTTGAATTGGCCAGCTGATCCTGAAACCTGGCCCCTTTCAACAAGTTTTGGCCACCACGCCACACCCCTTTCCAACCTCTAGCTCTATAGCTTGAGGATATGGGTCCCTGGGAGATACTGAGGGACCAAGACTGGGCCCCACCAAGACAAGGGGCCCCTTGTAGAAAGAAAGCAGAAATTTCTTCTAGACCCACTGACCAGACTCGCTCGCTGTCCTTGACTCCACCAAAAGGGGCACAACCCTGATTCAGCAGCACCTCCTATCTGTCATAGCAAGGGAGCACTTTCCCCAAAGACCAGCAGGGGAAAACCTCAACCTTACTTGGAGGAGCCAAGGAAGTATCTCGCAGATCCTGCAAAAAGGCACCCACATCTACAGCTCGACGGGCAGGAGGTCTGCGGGCCAAGCCAGGCCTCTGCACTGACTGTGGCTGAAGAGATGTGGCAAAGGTCAGGTTGAGGGAGCTGGTAAGAGGGAGAAAGCACAAAGGAAAATCAGGTACCTAAGACCCAGTTTGCCCAGAGATCCCGCTGTCTGCCCTGGGGTTCTCATCTCTTAGAACAGAGCCAACATGCTGTGTGGCTAAACTGGCAGAGAGTCGTGTGGCCAGATTCCCAGGCAGTACCTCCCTCCCCAAACCTCTCCTCCACCCACCCCCAGAACAGGAAATACCCAGAACAACACCTGGTGAGGGATGAGGCATCATCATTCCTCTGAGGCTCTGTCAGTGACCAGCAAGAGAATGTAAAAGAAGAAAACCATGATAAATGATCCAGGCTTGTGAGAGCCCTCTCTCAGGCCTCCTCAGCCTCTCCAGAAGACAGGAGGGATAGGGGAGCAAAAGTGGTCCAGGACCTTACCTTGAGAGAGAGGCAGCCCTTGGTCCACTCCCTGCTGAAACATCGACAGTCTCAGCCTCTGTTTCCTCCTGCCAGGGGCCAACAGACCTGGAGCCAGGGTCGTGGGGGGCTCAAGCTCAGGAAGTTGCAGCTCCAGGCTATAAGAATGTGGCTTACCTCAGGCAGGCCAGAAAGCCCAATTCTGGCTTTTGCAACCCCCAAGAAACTCCCCGACTAAGCTGCCCATAACATACTGCAAGGTGGGAGAGTTCTGTTTACCTGCCAACGCTGCTCTCTCGTCTGGAGGGCTGGACCTCCTGTGGTGCCGGCACTGGCTTCACTACCGACTTAGGCATCAGGATGGAAGATTCCGGGGCTGCAGAAACATCAAGGAGAGGGTGGGGCTGACAGAACAGGCCACCCTGAATGAAACATACCACAAGACTGGTGTTGGACTGGTGCCTAACTCTGACCGGCAGGCCAGCGCTCACTCACCAGTTAGTAGGATGTTCTTCAGCAGGGTCCGAGGCGTCTGTTCCTCCAGGTGCCCACTGGCCTGAACATACGCCGATCCGCTAATAGACTATCGCAAAAGCACCAAGTGACCAGTCTGTCCATTTGCCTTGAGATTTCCTCAAGGTGGGCTCCAGAGCGGAGCTAGACCTCAACGCCCCCTCCCTGAGGCAGCCAGGGCCCTTTAGGGTCAGTGGGCTGGGTACTCACCCTGACTCTATGGGAATACCTTCTGGTTGTCATCTTTGTTTGGCTGCTCAACCTCCTGGAAGAAGCTGTTTCAAGCAGGGCTCTTCTCTGGGCACTGCGTAAAGACCAGCGGCACTGAGAATGACAGTAAGGAGGGATAGAGGACACAGAGACAGCCTTCTAAAGACCAGCGGCACTGAGAATGACAGTAAGGAGAGATAGAGGACACAGAGACAGCCTTCTAAAGACCAGCGGCACTGAGAATGACAGTAAGGAGAGATAGAGGACACAGAGACAGCCTTCTAAAGACCAGCGGCACTGAGAATGACAGTAAGGAGGGATAGAGGACACAGAGACAGCCTTCTAAAGACCAGCGGCACTGAGAATGACAGTAAGGAGGGATAGAGGACACAGAGACAGCCTTCTAAAGACCAGCGGCACTGAGAATGACAGTAAGGAGGGATAGAGGACACAGAGACAGCCTTCTAAAGACCAGCGGCACTGAGAATGACAGTAAGGAGAGATAGAGGACACAGAGACAGCCTTCTAAAGACCAGCGGCACTGAGAATGACAGTAAGGAGGGATAGAGGACACAGAGACAGCCTTCTAAAGACCAGCGGCACTGAGAATGACAGTAAGGAGGGATAGAGGACACAGAGACAGCCTTCTAAAGACCAGCGGCACTGAGAATAACAGTAAGGAGGGATAGAGGACACAGAGACAGCCTTCTAAAGACCAGCGGCACTGAGAATGACAGTAAGGAGGGATAGAGGACACAGAGACAGCCTTCTAAAGACCAGCGGCACTGAGAATGACAGGAGGGATAGAGGACACAGAGACAGCCTTCATCAGGGGTCTTGGTCTGAAGCCTTTTTCCCTCAGGGCTAGGGACCTAGAACCACTTGCCCCTATCATCACCACTGTTCCCAGCCCTATGTCGACAGCAGTGTAAACGAAGACCCCTAGGGTGTGGGAAGAGAGAGGGAATATGAGTGAACAAGCCAGGAGGGGCTGGGAAAGGCTTCAGAACTTCAGCAGAATCACAAAGGATAAGTAGGGGTTAACCACACAAACAAGAGGAACAATTGGAAGAGCATTCATCCCAGACATGAAAATAACAATCCATGAAGGATATTAAAGTATTTTAAAATCTTTTAGCCGGGCATGGTGGCTCATGCCTGTAATCCCAGCACTTTGGGAAGCTGAGGCGGGCAGATCACAAGGTCAGGGGTTTGAGACCAGCTTGACCAACATGGTGAAACCCCTTCTCTACTTAAAAATACAAAAATTAGTTGGGTGCGGTGGCATGTGCCTGTAGTCCCAGCTACTCGGGAGGCTGAGGTAGGAGGATCGCTTGAGCCCAAGAGTTCTGGGCTGTAGTATGCTATGTCGATCCGGTGTCCGCACTAAGTTCATCAATATGGTGACCTCCCAGGAGCGGGGGACCACCAGGTTGCCTAAGAAGGGGTGAACCGGCCCAGGTCGGAAACAGAGCAGGTCAAAACTCCTGTACTGATCAGTAGTGGGATCGCGCCTGTGAATAGCCACTGCACTCCAGCGCGGGCAACATAGCGAGACCCCATCTCTTAAAAAAAAAAAAGGCCGGGTGCTATGGCTCACGCCTGTAATCCTAGCACTTTGGGAGGCCGAGGTGGGTGATCACCTGAAGTCAGGAGTTCAAGACCAGTCTGGCCATCATGGTGAAACCCCATCTTAAGAAAAAAAAAAAAGAAAAAAAAAAATACAAAAATTAGCCAGGCATTGTGGCGCGCACCTGTAATCCCAGCTACTTGGGAGGCTGCGGCAGGAGAACTTCTTTTTCTTTTTTTTTTTTTTTTTTTTTTTTGACGGAGTTTCGCTCTTGTTCCCCAGGCTGGAGTGCAATGGCGCGATCTCGGCTCACCGCAACCTCCTCCTCCTGGGTTCAGGCAATTCTCCTGCCTCAGCCTCCTGAGTAGCTGGGATTACAGGCGCGCGCCACCATGCCCGGCTAATTTTTTGTATCTTTAGTAGAGACGGGGTTTCACCATGTCGACCAGGATGGTCTCGATATCTTGACCTCGTGATCCACCCGCCTCGGCCTCCCAAAGTGCTGGGATTACAGGCTTGAGCCACCGTGCCCGGCCAGGAGAACTTCTTTAACCCACGAGGCAGAGGTTGAGGTGAGCCAAGAGTGGACCATTGCACTCCAGCCTGGGCAAGAGAGCGAGACTCCATCTCAAAAAAAAAACGAAAGAAATCTTGGCCGGGCTCACGCCTATAATCCCAGCACTTTGGGAGGCTGAGGCAGGTGGATCATGAGGTCAGGAGTTCAAGACCAGCCTGGCCAAGACAGTGAAACCCCGTCCCTACTAAAAATACAAAAATTAGCCAGGCATGGTGGCAGATGCCTGTAATCCCAGCTACTCGGGAAACTGAGGCAGAGAATTGCTTGAACCCAGGAGGCGGAGGTTGCAGTTAGCCAAGATTGGGCCACTGCACTCCAGCCTGACGACAGAGCAAGACTCCGTCTCAAAAAAAAAAAAAGAAAGAAAAAAGAAAAGAAAAAGAAAAAAAAAATTGGTACCCCAGCTGCCTTAGTCTCTCCATTCCAGTCCCTCTCAGATTCCAGAATCACATAAGTGTTCTCAGTGCACAGCTCCCACCTCATGGGTGTAAAAACTATAATGAGCCAGGCGCGGTGGCTCACGCCTGTAATCCCAGCACTTTGGGAGGTAGAGGCAGGCGGATCACGAAGTCAAGAGATCGAGACCATCCCGGCCAACATGGTGAAACCTCATCTCTACTAAAAATACAAAAAAATTAGCTGGGCGTGGTAGCGCGCGCCTGTAGTCCCAGCTACACACACACACACACACACACACACACACAAAACTATAATGAATGGCTTCTCATTCTCTGTAAAGGAACTGCACTGTCCCAGTCTGGCAGATGTCAACATATGTATCCTCTGCACCATAAGCTCACCACAGCCCTCACCCGCCGCTCCTACTAAGTCAGGCCTAATTCCCTGCTCCTTAGCAAAGCATCTTCCAGTAGCTGCCTCCCAACTTCTGCCTAGGCTGTCCTCTAGCTCCTTTCCCATTTCCCAGCTGGGAGCTGCAGGGACAGTAGGACAACGCGAAGGAACAATAGGAACTCTTGGGAGGCAGAAATTCAGGGCAAATGCACACTCTGGCTGGTTTAGGGAAAGTTGCCTAGAGACCAGAGCAGAAGGTCAGATTCTGAGCGCCTGTCCATCTCCAGAAGCTGAGCCCCAAAGACTCGGGATCAGTCTGGCTCTGTGGTCCCGAGGCCTGGCTGCCTGGAACCCCGGGGGCGAGGGCACAGCCGACTAGAGCAATAGAGCCAGTTTTCAGAGTCCCGGGCCCTACTCCTCTCTGAGACTCACTTTCCCTCTTCGAATAGAGTCGGCGCTGGGTCCCATCCAGACTCCACTCCCCAGTCCCTCTAGTTGCTCAAATACTCGGGCAGCCCCCTCACATACCCAGCCCGAGCACTCCGGGGTCGCCGCGGGGTGCGTGGGTCCGCTGTATCCAGCACGCGACGCAGCAGCGTACGCGGCGTAGAGTCGCTGTCAGGGTTGTGGTCAGCCATCTTCTCGGCCCGGGGCTCTCTTAACCGCCCAGACAGCTGCTAGGGCCACCTTCCCGCCGCCACATTTAAGGTAACTATCGCGATGCTGCCGCACAGCCCCACGGGAATTGTTCTCGCCCTATCGCAGCTCGCGGCGTGGGCAGTGGTTGCAAATTCGGGCTGCTTTGGAGGCAGTCTCTCTGGGGGTAAGCCTCGGTTTATGTAATGCAAGCAGCCCTAGTCTTGACTTATTCATCTGTAAATTGAGGTTAATACCCACCTAATAAGGAACTTGTAATGATTCGAGGAGTTAATATTTAACTCAGAGTCTAACACACGATAACCAAGGGCATTGGTAACTAGCAATTGATATTATTAGAAGGCTATCTGATTTCCGTCTCTCTCTTTAAAGATGAAGAGAGATGGTTGGGCCAGAAAAAATAATTTTATCCTACATATGACATGGTTAGATTTGCATTTGCAGGCTAAGCGGTGGCTCACGCCTGTAATTCCAATGCTTTAGGACACTGAGGTGGGAGGATCACTTGAGCTCAGGAGTCCCATAGCAGCCTGGGCAACATAGTGAGACACCCTCCACTATGTTGGCTCTCCACGCCGTTTTTACAAAAAATTAAATTAGGCATGGTGGTGTGCACCAGTAGTCCCAGCTACTCGGGAGGCTGAGAGAGGAGGATCAATTGATCCCAGGAGTTCAAGACTGCAGTGAACGGTGATTGCACTCCAACCTCGGCGACAGAGAGAGATCCTGTCTCAAAAAATAATAAAAGTGTTTTTGTGTTTTTTTTGAGACGGAGTTTCCCTCTTGTTACCCAGGCTGGAGTGCAATGGCGCGACCTCGGCTCACCGCAACCTCCTCCTCCTGGGTTCAGGCAATTCTCCTGCCTCGGCCTCCTGAGTAGCTGGGATTACAGGCACGTGCCACCATGCCCAGATAATTTTTTCTATTTTTTAGTAGAGGCGGGGTTTCACCATGTTGACCAGGATGGTCTCCATCTCTTGACCTCGTGATCCACCCGTCTCGGCCTCCCAAAGTGTTGGGATTACAGGCTTGAGCCACTGCGCCCGGCTAATTTTTTTTTTTTTAATACGGGGTTTCACCATGTTGGTCAGGCTGGTCTTGAACTCCCAACCTCAGGTGATCCGCCTGCCTTGGCCTCCAAAGTGCCTGGATTACAGGCGTTAGCCACCACGCCTGGCCAAAATATTAGATTCTTGCTGTTTAAAATAAGAGAGCTGTAGAAAAAAAAATAAATATTCCTTGTCATTTAGATCTGATCTCTGTGTTATCTGACTTAATTTGCTAGCCTTTTGCAGAAATATTTCCATGCTTGCTACCTAAATGCAGTTTTAAATTATTTATTCATTTACTAGTAAAACCTTAAACTACTGAATAATATGGAAAAAACCAAACACCTTTCTTTTTTTTTCTTTTTGAGACAGGATCTCGCTCTGTCACCTAGGCTGGAGTGCAATGGTGGGATCATGCTCACTGCAGATCTCAACCTTCTGTACTCTAGCCGTCCTCCCACCTCAGCCTCCTGAGTAGCTGGGACTACGGGAGTGAGCCACCATGCCTGGGTAATTTTTGTATTTTTTGTACAGATCGGGGGGATTCACCATGTTGCCCAGGCTGGTCAAACATGTTTCAAAAAAGTCTCAAACATGAGCTTGAGTCTGTTCACATAATTAAACGTTATAATTACTTGTTTAAAAAAAAAATCCTAGGATGAAGTGAGGTAGGGAGGAGTGAAAGAGAATGGCAAGGGCCAGACTAATGTGGGGTCTTGCAGGCTCTAAGAAAGAGTCTGGACATTATTGTAAATGGTATACGAAGCCACGGGAAGGATTTAGGCAGAGGTATGACATCATCAGATCTTTGGCAGCCATGTGAAGAACAGATTGCAGGAGAGGCAAGATTGGAAGCAGGGAGACTTGTGATAAGGTTCTTGCTTTTCTCCAGGGGTGATTAAGACAGAGAGTGAGCTGGGCAGTGGAGGTGGGGAGAAAGATACACATTCAAGATATGCTTTGAGTAAGAAGATTAACTGTAGATGACAGGTGATTTTATGTACTGGAAATTAGAGTTTTATTGCATCATTTTCAATGTTCTGTGCATAAAGAAATTATATAAACATTGCACTGGTACATGAGCGAGAAAAGAAAAAGGAAAAACAAAAAACTTGACTGCTCACCATTTTTTGAACAAGGTGAATCCTGAGACAGGTAGAGTTTGAACCATAACAGCTACAATGATTTTCTGCTGAATTTTATCTCTACTGCACACATTCTATAAAAATTTAAGGCCGGGCGCAGTGGCTCACGCCTACAATCCCAGCACTTTGGGAGGCCGAGGCGGGTGGATCATGAGGTCAAGAGATCGAGACCATCCTGGTCAACAAGGTGAAACCCTGTCTCTACTAAAAATACAAAAATAAGCTGGGCATGGTGGTGCATGCCTGTAGTCCCAGCTACTCGGGAGGCTGAGGCAGGAGAATTGCTTGAACCCAGGAGGCGGAGGTTGCGGTGAGCCAAGATAGTGCCATTGCACTCCAGCCTGGGTAACAAGAGCAAAACTCAGTCTCAAAAAAAAAAAAATTTAAACATGGGCCAGGCGTGGTGGCTCACACCTGTAATCTAAGCACTTTGGAGGCCAAGGCGGGCGGATCACCTGAGGGCGGGAGTTCAAGACCAGCCTGACCAACATGGTGAAACCTCGTCTTAAAAAAAATAAAAAATAAACATGGCTGGGCGCAGTGTCTCACACCTGTAATCCAGGCACTTTGGGAGCCTGAGGAGGGCAGATCACCTGAAGTTGGGAGTTTAAGACCAGTCTGACCAACATGGTCATGTCGCTACTAAAAACACAAAAATTAGCCGGGCGTGGTGGCATATGCCTGTACTTGGGAGGCAGAGGCAGAAGAATTGCTTGAACCCAAGAGGTAGAGGTTGGGGTGAGCTGAGATTGCGCCACTGCACTCCAGCCTAAGCAATGAGTGAAACTCCGTCTCAAAAAAAAAAAAAGAAAAAAAAAAATTAAAACATGTAATATGAGCCAGATGCAGTGGCTCACACCTGTAATCCCAGCACTTTGGGAGGCCGAGGTGGGTGGATCACCTGAGGTCAGGAGTTTGAGACCAGCCTGGCCAACTTGGTGAAACCCCATCTCTACTAAAAATACAAAAATTAGCTGGATGTGATGGTGGGCACCTATAATCCCAGCTACTTGGGAGGCTGAGGCAGGAGAATCCCTTGAACAATTCTTGGGTTGCAGTGAGAAGAGATTGCATCATTGCACTCCATCCTGGGCAACAGAGCAAGACATTGTCTCAAAAAAAAAATGAATAGACTGAGTGTGGTAGCTTGCGCCTCTAATCTCAGCATTTTGGGAGGCTGAGGCAGGCGGATCATGAGGTCAGGAGTTTGAAACCAGCCTGAGCAACATGGTGAAATGTAATCCCAACTCTCCTAAAAATACAAAAATTAGCTGAATGTGGTGGTGCCAGCCTGTAATCCCAGGTACTCAGGAGGCTGAGGCAGGAGAATCGCTTGAACTCAGGAATTGGAGGTTACAGTGAGCCGAGACTGCACCACTGCACCCCCGCCTGGACAACACAGCAAGACTCCATCTCAACAACAACAACAACAAAAATTAGCTGGGTATGGTGGTGGGTGCCTTTAATCCCAGCTACTTGGGAGGCTGAGGCAGGAGAATCTCTTGAACCCAGAAGGTGGAGGCTACAGTGAGCCGAGATTGTACCACTGCACTCCAGCCTGGGCAACAAGAGCAAAACTCTGTCTCAAAATAAATAAACAAATAAATAAACAAAAAGTGTAATATGTGTGTTTATGTTTATACTGTTGTATAAATGATTCACCCAAATGAATGCATATCTTTTACTAGGGCTACGCACACTAGAGAATGCATTTCTCAATTTGATGGGGTTCAAGCTGTGGACCTCAGCTTGAACTCCTTCAGCTGAGGAATGGGACTTTCTTCTGTTACAGGTCAGTGAAATTTACACAAATAACCAAGGATCACATTGGGTGGAAACTGAAATACAATGGTGGTGTTTGGGTGCTGAAATTAAGAAACGTTCTTTTTCTCTATTGTCGTACATTTCTCTCTTTTTATTTACTCATTTATTTATTTTTAATTAATTTATTTTTGAGACAGTCACTCTGTCGCCCGGGCTGGAGTGAAGTGGCATGATCTCAGCTCACTGCAACTCTACCTCCCAGTTTCAAGCGATTCTTCTGCTTCGTTTTAGGAGTAGCTGGGATTACAGGCATAGGGCACCATACCCAGCTAATTTTTGTATTTTTAGTAGAGACAGGGTTTCACTCAAGCTCCTAACCTCAAGTCATCTGCCCTCTTTGGCCTCCCAAAGTGCTGGGATTACAGGCCTGAGCCACTGTGATCGCTCTATTTTTTTTTTCTTTTTTGAGACAGAGTCTTGCTTTGTCACCCAGGCTGGAGTGCAGTGGCATGATCCTGGCTCACTGCAAGCTCTGCCTCCCAAGTTCAAGCGATTCTCCTCCCTCAGCTTCTGGAGTAGCTGAAACTACAAGGAGCACACCATCATGCCAGGTTAATTTTGTATCTTTTTTTTTTGAGACGGAGTTTCACTCTCGTTAACCAGGCTGGAGTGCAATGGCAGGATCTCGGCTCACCGCAACCTCCGCCTCCTGGGTTCAGGCAATTCTCCTGCCTCAGCCTCCTGAGTAGCTGGGATCACAGGCAGGTGCCACCATGCCCAGCTGATTTTTTGTATTTTTAGTAGAGACGGGGTTTCACCAAGTTGACCAGGATGGTCTCGATCTCTTGACCTCGTGATCCACCCACCTCAGCCTCCCAAAGTGCTGGGATTATAGGCGTGAGCCACCGCGCCGGGCCAATTTTGTATATTTAGTAGAGACAGGGTTTTGCCATGTCGGCCAGGCTGGTCTGGAACTCCTGCCTCAGGTGTTCTGCCCTCCTTCACCTCCTAAAGTGCTGGGATTATAGGTGTGAGCCACCAGGTCTCTCTCTTTCTCTTTTTTTTTTTTTTTTTTTTTTTGAGACGAAGTCTCACTCTGTTGCCCAGGCTGGAGTGCAGTGGTGTGATCTTGGCTCACTGCAACCTCTGCCTCCTGGGTTCAAGTGATTCTCCTGCCTCAGCCTCCTGAGTAGCTGGGATCACAGGCGCATACCACCATGCCCACCTAAGTTTTGTATTTTTAGTAGAGACAGCGTTTCACTATATTGGCCAGTCTGGTCTCGAACTCCTGACCTCGTGATCCGCCCGCCTTGGTCACCCAAAGTGCTGGGATTGCAGGTGCCTGGCCACACCCTGTCTCTTTAAAAAAAAAAGGGGGGGGTTCAAAGTGGCTCCGGCCGGATGTTGTGGCGCTTGCGAAGGCGAGGCCATGAGTTCAAGGCCAACCTGAGCAACCTTACAAGCTCTCATTGATTGGCAAAAAAAAAAAAAAGAGAGAGAGAGACAGGCTCTTGCTCTCTAGCCCAGGATGGAGTGCAGTAGCTCACTACAGGCTAGACCTCCTGGGCTGAAGACCTTCTCTCCTACATCTGCCTCTCTAGTAACTGGAACTGAAGGTGTATGCCACCATGCCTGGCTAATTTTTGTTGTTGTTGTGATGGAGGATGTGTCTCACTATAGTGCCCAGGCTGGTCTTGAACTCCTGGGCTTAAGTGATCCTCCTGCCTTAGCCTCCTAAAGTGCTGAGATTACAGGCATCACCCACAAAGTATAGCCTTTTAAAAATTTATTGTTATTTATTATTATTATTTTTTGAAATGGAGTCTCACTCTGTCACCCAGGCTAGAGTACAGTGGCGTGACCTTAGCTCACTGCAGGATTCAAGTGATTCTCCTGCCACAGCCTCCCGAGTAGCTGGGATTACATGGTGACACATGCCATCATGACCAGCTAAATTTTGTATTTTTAGTAGAGACAGGGTTTCATAGTGTCGGCTAGGTTGGTCTCGAACTCCTGACCTAAAGTAATCCATCTGCCTTGGCCTTCCAAAGTGCTGGGATTACAGGCCTGAGCCACCAAGCACTGCCTATTTTGTTTTTATGTCAAATACTGTAATTAGAAATAATGTGTATTAGGTTTCCATTTCCTGCCTGTAATGTGCTATCAGGAGAGAAAAAATGAAGAGTGAGAGTTAGGTGAAAGGCTAAGGCAGGACAAGAAAAATTAGAAGGAGAAAGAGATCATGTCTTTTGCGGGAATGGGGCCAGAAGCCATTTTTCTTAACAAAGTAATGCAGGAACAGAAAACCAAATACTGCATATTCTCATTCGTAAGTGAGAGTTAAATGATGAGAACTCATAAACACAAAGAAGGGATCAACAGACACTGGGGTCTACTGGAGGGAAGCGGGTGGGAGGAGGGAGAGAAGCAGAAAAGGTAACTATTGGGTACTGGGCTTAATACCTGAGTGATGGCTGGGCGCTGTGGCTCACGCCTGTAATCCCAGCACTTTGGGAGGCCAAGACGGGTGGATCACGAGGTCATGAGATCCAGACCATCCTGGTCAACATGGTGAAACCCCGTCTCTACTAAAAATACAAAAATTAGCTGGGCATGGTGGCGCATGCCTGTAATCCTAGCTACTCAGGAGGCTGAGGCAGGAGAATTGCCTGAACCCAGGAGGCGGAGGTTGCAGTGAGCCAAGATAGCGCCATTGCACTCCAGCCTGGGTAACAAGAGCGAAACTCCGACTCAAAAAAAAAAAAAAAAAATACTTGAGTGATGAAATGGTCAACATGGGAAACCCCGTCTCTACTAAAAATACAAAAAATTAGCTGGGCATGGTGGCGCATGCCTGTAATCCCAGCTACTCAGGAGGCTGAGGCAGGAGAATTGCCTGAACCCAGGAGGCGGAGGTTGCAGTGAGCCAAGATAGCGCCATTGCACTCCAGTCTGGGTAACAAGAGCGAAACTCCGTCTCAAAAAAAAAAAAAAAAAAAAATGAAATAATCTGTACAACATATTGCGGTGACAGGAGTACCCCCGTACCTAAAATAAAAGTTAAAAAAAAATTGGAATAAGGGGGAACTCGGCAAAAGAGGGCTAGTTTGCAGGTAATTCCCCTGGAGAACTGCCTAGGTCCTCCCGGCTTTCCACAACCTTTCTTGTTCTTTACAACATTTTCCTCCAAAGAAGGTGAGGTAGGGTGGAGGTGTCTCGTTACAATGCAAATCCTGTCGCGTAAAATCCTTTAACGGCTCTCAGTGGCCTGCAGAATAAAACCCTAAATCCTTAGCTTGTCCCAGTTTGGTATTTTCCTACGCTTCGACTACCAGGGCCACCCCCTTCCAGGCTCTTTAAGGGCGGAGCCTAGCTCTTTTCTGCCTTGTGGCCTTAGACTGGTTCCCGGGACAAGAACTGGCTATTTCTCTCTACCCAAGCTTTCGGTCGTTTTTTATTCCTGGCCCTCCCTGCCCCTGTATTTCTCTGCTCTCCTGTTCATTCCTTTGGAGCGTTTACTTTCTGTGATCCATTTGCGTGCCTTCACATCTGTAAAAGACAGACCCTCATCCTTCTATGTAGTTGGGCTCCAAGAGAGGAGCCCAGTCAGTCTGGCCACCGGAAACTCTCTGCACTGTGTCAGTCACACAGTAGGCGTCTACTGGTGACTTTGTTTAGGTGAGTAAGTGAGGAAACGCAGGCAGCAGCTGAATCAGGAGAGAGTCCCCAACGCAAAGAAAAGAGCTCCTGAGACCTTTCGGGGCGCCGAGGCCCAGGTTTCGTCTCCCTCTGCTGCAGTAATGCCGTCGACTCAAAAGGCGCTCGGGGCTGGGGGTGCTGCTTCTGGCAAACAGCACAACGTCGCCCGAATTCTGGTCCGCAGTAACTCGACCTTTCCCTTAGGCGGCGCTCCGGACCGCAGTTACGGAGTTCAGCGCGAGGCATCACGGGATTGGTAGTCTCCGTGGGCATACCCATGGCGATTGCGCACTGGCGAGGCGCGTACCGCCTAGCTCCACGCCCCTTTCAGGATTCGGGTCCTTGTGAGGAGCAGTCCAGGCGACAGCGTTCCAACCTAATACGCTTCTCTCGCCCGCCTCCGGGGACAAGCCGAGTTGAGGAAAGAATCTGCTCTTCGGAGGCTATCGCAGTGTCCTGAAAGGCGGCCGGAATCCACATACACCCGCCCCGGAAGTGAGCGGCTCCTGGCGCGGTGCATTGTGGGGGGCGTAGTCTCTTTCTCAGGCGGTCCTTCGCGGCGTCCCCGGGGCCGACTCCCGAGCGCAGGCGAGCAGCCAGGCGGGCGGCGCGGCGCGGGCCGACAGGAAGCATATTCTGGGCACGGGGCGCCGGGCGGGCCGGCTGCGTCTAGCGGCAGTGGTGGAATACTACCCAAAGCCTCGCGCGGCGCCGCCCGTCGAGGGGCGGGCGGCGGCGGAGCCACTTGGCCGTCGACGGGCGCAGGAGGCCGGTGGGCCGGGCCGGGCCTCGCGGCGCAGCCATGCCTGGCTTTACGTGCTGCGTGCCAGGCTGCTACAACAACTCGCACCGGGACAAGGCGCTGCACTTCTACACGTTTCCAAAGGACGCTGAGTTGCGGCGTCTCTGGCTCAAGAACGTGTCGCGTGCCGGCGTCAGTGGGTGCTTCTCCACCTTCCAGCCCACCACAGGCCACCGTCTCTGCAGCGTTCACTTCCAGGGCGGCCGCAAGACCTACACGGTACGCGTCCCCACCATCTTTCCGCTGCGCGGCGTTAATGAGCGCAAAGTAGCGCGCAGACCCGCTGGGGCCGCGGCCGCCCGCCGCAGGCAGCAGCAGCAGCAACAGCAGCAGCAACAGCAGCAGCAGCAGCAGCAGCAGCAGCAACAGCAGCAGTCGTCGTCACCCTCTTCCTCCACTGCCCAGACTGCCCAGCTGCAGCCGAACCTGGTGTCTGCTTCCGCGGCCGTGCTTCTCACCCTCCAGGCCGCTGTAGACAGCAGTCAGGCTCCCGGATCCGTGCCGCCGGCGCCCATTACTCCCACTGGAGAAGACGTGAAGCCCATCGACCTTACAGTGCAAGTGGAGTTTGCAGCCGCAGAGGGCGCAGCCGCTGCGGCCGCCGCCTCGGAGCTACAGGCTGCTACTGCAGGGCTGGAGGCTGCCGAATGCCCTATAGGCCCCCAGTTGGTGGTGGTAGGGGAAGAGGGCTTCCCTGATACTGGCTCCGACCATTCGTACTCCTTGTCGTCAGGCACCACGGAGGAGGAGCTCCTGCGCAAGCTGAATGAACAGCGGGACATCCTGGCGCTGATGGAAGTGAAGATGAAAGAGATGAAAGGCAACATTCGCCACCTGCGTCTCACCGAGGCCAAGCTGCGCGAAGAACTCCGCGAGAAGGATCGGCTGCTTGCCATGGCTGTCATCCGGAAGAAGCACGGAATGTGAACTGGTGCCCTGGCGGCCTGCTGGACTCCCAGACCCCATCCAGCCCAGAGGACTGCAGACCACTGTTGAACTCCTCTATACTCCTGGGGCACTGGTCGACAGTACTGAGGCTTCAGGCAACTGGACTCCCTTGCTGGTGACCTGGCACCCTCAGTTGTTTGCTCCTGAAGTGGAAGCTGGGGCCTTAGACTCTGCCCTGGTGACACCAGCAATTATGACTTTGTTTACCCTTCCTCCCCAGTTATTGTTGCAGATTCTGGTTAAGCAGAGGCTTCAAAACCATTGAACTTGAAACTTACCCTTTAGGGATGCAGGTGGGATGTCCAGGGACTATGGGTTTGGGAAAACCATACTTTAAGGTTGGTCAGCAGTCAGACAACTCTAATGTGTGTAGTGATAAGAGAGTCAAGTAACATCTCTTCTCCTCCTCTTCATGCTTTTCCTTCCCAGGTAGAGCCTGTGATTCTGATGGGGACTGGTAAATCTGTGCCTCTGCCTCCTAGGATTTCTTTCCCCAGCAGGCCATTTACAAGGGGATCTGGGTGACCTGCTGATGGAGGTCCAGCTTGCCAGGGACTTAGGTTTATCCCGTTTTGTTTGCTACTGGTTACAAATTCTATTTTCTGTACAATTAGTCAGACTAAAGTTTTCACTGTGTTTGTTTGGCAAAACAAATTAAACAAAAAGTAAGGTTTTTATTTGGGTCTCGCCATTTTATTTTTTACAAAAACATAGCTAAATGTCCTTGAAACATGGAGAAATAGGCCTCAGCCTATTTGAAAGACCAGGCTGATCCTGAAAGTAGAGATGCTTCAGTGACCAGATTTCTCCAAAAATGGGCCCTAAGCACATGGATCCTGGCCTTATAAAGTCCTCAAGAGTTCCTGGCTCAGCTCACCCTAAAGTGTTTGGAAACTGCACCAAATGGGCCCAGTTTGTCCATGGGTTATTCTCCCTGTGTCCTTTCAACAAGATGGAGCAACTGGTAACTAAGCTGTATTGTGACTGTTCACCTCTGAGGGTTTTGAATTCTCAGCTGGGATTGAATTTTGCTCACGGTAACATCCCTTAGGTTTAGCACAGCCTTTGGTACGCATGTGCATGCAGTTACTCTCTGAACCAGTGAGACCACAGCTGGAGCTAGCCAGGGCTGCTTCAGGCACAAGGAATCTTGTATAGATACCTTGGCCTTGGTACATCTTCAGTGTGACAGATCTGTATCCACAGATGGCATTAAGGAGTTTGGAGGTGTGATCCCTTGACTCATTTTCTTTTAGATTGTATATTGAAGGGGCAAGATGACATTTTTTTGCCTATAGCTCCAAGTAACTCAGCTCAAAGCCAATGTCTAAAAGTGAATGCCTTTAACTGTGGGTAGAAGAGCACAAATGGAGACTTTTGACCCCATAAAGTAGGACTCCCTTCTCTTCGTTACTTAGGACAAAGCCATCTGCCTGGGGATGGACTTGCCTGTGGGGATGTGCTGGGATGTTCCTAAAACTCAAGTCTCTGTTTTCCTTCTAGTCCCTTAGCACTGAGTTGGGAAACAAGTCTGGTGGGAAGAAGGGGTGAAACATAGGTTGTATGGGTGCCTTGTTGGGGAATGGACTGGATCTCTGCCTTCCTAGGGTTAGCTCTGGCTGCTAATCAGGTGCTGGAAGCACAGCAGTGCCCTTTGTTGCCCCTATTGGGCCACTCTCACATCTTCCTGGTTCCTTCCATGGACTGAGGCCTTTTCCAGGCTCCAGCCATGCTCTTCAGTGTATCCTTGAACTCCTGTTTGTTGAAGGGACTTCTGGTCTTTCTCCATTGGCTCTCTTGAGCCTCTCAGCAGTACTCCCTGGACCCTTCCTGGTTTCTGGAGGTTATGGGCAGTGTTTTGGCTTCTTAGGGAGAAGACAGTTCACAGAGCATGGGGGATTCCAGATGCAGATGTACAAGCGAGGCAATGCAGAGTTGTTACTAGCTGAGTAATAAGCATCTTGTCAGGGAAAATGTAGTGTTGACAGACCTGAGATTTAAAAAACAAGCATGGTCTGGTCTTACCAGCCATCCCTTGGAGGGGTGGCCTGGAGGTGGGTAAAGGTGCAAAACTATTCTGGAAGAACAGGAGTACTGCGAGATCTCCAGCCAGGAGGGAAGGCCAGGAGTTGCTTGGAGAGGGCCTTGTAGCCATTTCCGTTACCTATGATATACCCCAGGTTGGCTGCAGATCTCTGCCAAGCACAGGCCTGACCTAGAGACTGGCCTTACCTCAAATGTTTGTGTTACCAAGGAAACAATGAAATGGGCGTTGAAAGGGTAATGGGTAGGAAGAGAACTATTTACAATCTGGTCACTTAAATCATAGGGAAACTTTGGGTAAGTCAGTTATTCCTATTTATTAATAAAAATGAAACACTTAGCTGCTCCGCCTGCTGCAAAAAAACCTTACAGAATGTTTTGGGGACCCCTGACTGTAGAATTTTGAGAGTAACCATTTCTTCAGCCAAGCACCACCTGAGGGACATCTGAGTCTTCGGTCCAAAAACAGCCTAGCCTGCTCGAAACCAGCTTTGAACCCGACTGGCGCAGGGGCTATGGGTTCCGCCCAAGCTGGTTAAGGCCGCACAGCTACGAAGAGCAGAAGCGACAGCCATAGCCCCGAAGGGAGGGGGTTTCGTGAGCGGAAACGGCCCAGGGGCCCAGGGAGGGGCAGCTGGGCCAGCTTGGGGCCAGGCCGGGCCGGGCTCCCACGGAGGCGGAGCCAACCCCCACCCCGGTGCACAGCCTAGGCGGGGCTGAGCCAGCTGAGACCTGGCGACAACTGAGCCCTGACCCTAGCCTGGCGCCAACTTCCAGTGTTCCAGAGGCTTCCGCTAGACCACAATTCTCAGGGGCTTGCCCCGGCAGCCTCCCTCCCTGGCTTAGTCTCACCTCCTGCGCTGCGGGCGGTGTCTGGGCCTCCGCGCATAGCACATTGGGAATTGTAGTTTTCTTTCGGCGCGCTCATGCCGGAAAGGGGGGGCGGTGGGACTGCGTCTCCCAGAGTGCAGCGGGGCGGGCGAGGGAAGGCAGGGGGGAAGGGACAGTCGGTCGCAGACCGCGCTGGGTTGCCGCCGCCGCCGCCGCTGCCGCCATCGTGCCAGCCCCTTGGGTGAGTGTCGGGGCCAGCACGCCGGGGCGGGGGGCTGGGCCGCAGGAGCCGCTCTCCGGGCTGCCGGGAGGCTCCGCTGAGAGTCCCCGGGCGGCCCCTCCTCTTCCCCCCCGGCGGCCCGAAGCCGCGCAGGGCCCGGGCCATGTGTCGCGCGCGGCTCCGCCTCCCGCCGGTCCTGTGAGGCGGCGGCCGTGGGGAACGCAGAGCCAGCCAGGCGCCTATCTGGGCGGTACCGTGCCGGTGGCTGGTGCACCGGCCTGCGCCAAGGCCGGGCCTTTTTCTCTATTCGGAACCATCCGGATGGGGCCTTAGGGCCCCGCCCCGTCTGGCCTGGCCCGGCCTGCGCGAGCCCCGCAAGCTCTGCAGGCTGGCTAGCGGGCAGGTCCCAGCCCCACGTCTTGCTACCCACCTACGAAGGATCCGGGGATGGGCAGCGCCACCCAGCCCGCTCCAGAGTCAGCATGGGTAAGGGCGCCCGCCTGCCGCAGCCGGGGCTTGGGACCCGACCATAGCCCGGCCCGGGTGTAGGTGAACGCCCCCTGCTTGTTTGCCCCTTGGGAGTGTACGAAACCTTACTGCTCCTTCTGTGGAGCCCGTACTAGAGTTCTCGCAGGGAGGACAGGTCAGGAAATATGAGTCGGGAAGGTATTCCACGTGAGACTTTACCCCTGGCTAGTCTTCTTGGAGGATGTGGGCCTGATGGGGTGAGGTAGCCCCTGGCGGGTAGGCCTAGCCGACGCCCTCCTCTATCAGTGACCAGGCCCAGCGGCAGCATAGAATTGCCGCGCCAGAGAGGATGACTTCGTAAGAATGGGATGATAAGGTGGGACATAATGCAAGGGGAGGTAGAATTCAGGGCTGAGTTTCTTGAGCCTAGTGCTAACAAGAACCTGAGCTGGAAGGGGCTTTGGGGTGAGGCACGTAGATTTCAGACTTTGTGGGGCCCTTCCGAAGCCTGGGTGGCAGAACTAGGGCTGCAAGCTGCAGAAAGTCTGGCTTCCCCTCACTTGCATGCTCACTTCCCAAAAGCTAGAGCTGCCTATAAGCAGGCACGAACCTGGTCGCTTTATGAAATTGCCCTTAATGATGCCGTCAGAGACCCTACCGAGTTCTGAGAGAAGGGTTATCTTTGACCAGAGAGTACTATCCTGACAACCTTTGTAAAAACACTTCTGATTGAGAGATGATAAATCAAGGAACAGTCCAGAGAAGCCCTTGGACTTGGGGGAGAGATGGCTTGTAAAACCTAGATTCCTCTGAGCCGCAGTCTTTGTGGAGACTAAAGAAGCAGGTCAGGCCGGGGCGGTGGCTCACGCCTGTAATCCCAACACTTTGGGAGGTTGAGGTGGGCTAATCACCTGAGTTCAGGAGTTGGAGACCAGCCTGGCCAACATGGCGAAACCCCATCTCTACTAAAAATACAAAAAAAAGACAAACTGGGCATGGTTGCAGGTGCCTATAATCCCAGCTACTTGGGAGGCCTGAGGCAGGAGAATCACTTGAACTCGGGAGGCGGAGGTTGCAGTAATCTGAGATCATGCCATTGCACTCTAGCCTGGACAACAGAACAAATCTTTTTCAAAAAAAAAAAAAAAGAACAGCAGCTCAGCCTCTGCAGCCCTGGCCTCAGCAGCAAGCAGAATATCAGGGCCCTTAGAAGGGCTGATTGAGACCCAAGGTGAAGAAAGCCAATGCCCTTGCCTTTTTTTTCCTTCCTCCTTCAATATTTCCTCAGGTAATATATTTCCCATCACTTCTTCCAAGTACTCTTGACTTAGAAGTTTTCTTGTATATGAATTGTTCTGCCTAGTCATTCTCCCTGGTCTGGAAGAACAGGCAAGGATGCTGCGCAGATCTCACCAGGCCCTGTCTTCTCTCTTGATTTAACTTTCCTAGTCCATATCCTGGCCCATGAGAGCATGGAAGTCACGTTCATCCAGGAGGCTCAGGAGAGGCCCACTTTGCCAGTGGAGCTGGGCAATGAGGGACTACTGGCAGGATAATGAGATGAAATCTAGAACTAGAAGCAGTTATTTCAAGACTCTCTGTAGATTGTCTCAATTGGTGCTTTCTAGGACACAGATTTCAGGTGAGCTGGCTTATGGCTGTGGCTTAGTTTGCGTATTTCATGGCCCCGGGTGGCTTGATCATGAGAGTTTTTTTTTTTGTCCCCCTCCCCCCGCCCCCGACAGTCTCCCTCTGTCACCCAGGCTGAAGTGCCTGTAGTGTGATCTTGGCTCACCAAAACCTCCGCCTCCTGGGTTCAGACAATTCTGCCTGAGCCTCCCCAGTGGCTGGAACTACAGGCTCATGCCACCACACCCTGCTAATTTTTGTATTTTCAGTAGAGATGGGCTTTCACTGTATTGGTCAGGCTGGTTGAACTCCTGACCTCAGGTGATCCACCCACCTCAGGTTTCAAAGTGCTGGGATTACAGGTCACCATGCCTGGCCTCTTTTTGTTTTTTGTTTTTTATTTTGAGACGGAGTTTCGCTCTTGTTATCCAGGCTAGAGTGCAATGGCGTGATCTTGGCTCACTGCAACCTCCACCTCCTGGGTTCAGGCATTTCTCCTGCCTCAGCGTCCTGAGTAGCTGGGATTACAGGCACACGCCACCATGCCCAGCTAATTTTTTTTTGTATTTTTAGTAGAGACGCGGTTTCACCATGGTGACCAGGATGGTCTCTATCTCTTGACCTCGTGATCCACCCGCCTCGGCCTCCCAAAGTGCTGGGATTACAGGCCTGAGCCACCGCGCCTGGTCTCTTTTTGTTTTTTTGAGACTAGATACTGCTTTGTCCCCAGGCTAGAGTGCAGTGACTCAGCCATGGCTCACGATAGCCTTGACTTCCTTGGTTCAAGTAATCCTCCCACCTCAGTTTCCCAAGTAGCTGGGACTACAGATACGCATTCCTATGCCCTGCTAATTTTTTTTTTTTTTTTAGTGATAGGATCTCCATATGTTGTCCAGGCTGGTCTCCAACTCCTGAGTTCAAGCGATACTCCCACATCAGCCTTCCAAAGTGTTGGGATTACAGACATGAACAATTACCCAGTGATCACAAGGGTTTTCTTCTTCAGGGTCAAAAAGATATTGTTCCTTCTCCAAGGTTACTCAAGAGTAGGAGGAATTCAGGTCCCTCCCTCTCATTCCAACCTCTAGAAGTTCCCTGTAACTTCTTTGTCTGAGGTCAGCTAGCCATTGCTAGGCATCCTGATCCTGAGAATTCGTTAACCTTTCTGGAACTTGGCAGGCCATCTAGGTCTCAGATATAAGAGCAGTACTCTGAGGTTCTTCAGGATCTATCTGCATTCTCTATTCACCTAGGGCTGACTTGAAGTGGGAGCTGGCATGCCATGCCGTGGTTGGGATATGGCTGCACAAGGATGAGGCAGGATATCAGGATGCCTCAGTTCTCAATTGGCTCAAAATTATGTCCTTTGATGTAGGAACCTATCTGCCTATCTTTTTTTTTTTTTTTTTGAGACAGAATCTTGCTCTGTTTCCCAGCTGGAGTGCAGTGGTGCCATCTTGGCTCGCTGCAACCTCCACCTCCTGGGTTCAAGTGATTCTTCTGTCTTAGCCTCCCTAGTAGCTGGGATTATAAATACCCACCACCACACCTGGCTAATTTTTGTATTTTTAGTAGAGATGGGGTTTCACTATATTGGCCAGGCTGGTCTTGAACTCCTCAAGTGATCCACTCGCCTAGGCCTCCCAGAGTACTAGGATTACAGGAGTGAGCCATAGGTCCTGGCTGAGCCTATCTCTTCTCTGAGCCATGTTTTGCTTTATTCTGCTGTCATTGCAGTTGATGGGTTGGGAGGGGAAGGATTACTTCAAAGAGACACAGAACAGGCTGGGTGCTACCCAGGAGGCTGAGGCAGGAGAATTGCTTGAACCCGGTAGGCAGAGGTTGCAGTGAGTCCAGATCGCACCACTGCACTCCAGTGTGGTGACAGAGCGAGACTCTGTCTCAAAAAAACACAGAATTTTCAAATTTCAGAACTAGAAACCACCTTATGTCAAAAATTTTATAAAATAGCACCAGCTCCAAAGCTGGAGTTTCACCTGAGGCCAGGAGTTCAAAACCAGCCTTGTCAACGTTTCTACAAAAGAAAAAGAAAAAAATAGCCAGTGTGGTTGTGGTGTCATATACCTGTAGTCCTAGCTACTCAAGAGGCTGTAGGAGGTCAAGGTTTCTGTGAGCTATGATCATGCCACTGCACTAGCCTGGGGACACTGTAGTAAGACCCTGTCTCCCAAAAAAAAGCTAGGATTCCTTTAATGAAACATTACTATTTTTTTTTTCCACCCAGGCTGGGGTGAAGTGGCACAATCTTGGCTCACTGCAACCTCCAACCCCAGGTTCAAGCAATTCTGCATCAGCCTCCGGAGTGGCTGGGATTATAGGTGCTTGCCATAATACCCAGCTAATTTTTGTATTTCTAGTAGAGAGGGGGTTTCGCCATGTTGGCCAGGCTGGTCTGGAATTCCTGACCTCAGGTGATCCACCTGCCTTAGCCTCCCAAAGTACTGGGATTACAGGCGTGAGCTTTTTTATTATTTATTTTTATTTTTTAACCTAAAGAGCTTCTGAATGATTAGAGCACCAAAGAGAAAAGGCTGTTAGTGGGCCCACCCTTCCCTCCAGTGCCTGGCAGGAACTGCAGAGGGAGGTATACTCATGACTGGGCTCAGGAAGGTTTAGGGTCCTTTGAGTGAGGCTGTCACCACCCCAAATTGCTATAGTTGTTCAGTCTAGCTGCTGGCTTCTAGAGCTTGCTCCCTTTGGGTCTCCCAGGGATCTGCTGGCTGTCTTCGCAGTACCTGGGAATCTCACCAGTCTTCCGAGTATCTGGGATTACAGGTATGCACCACCATGCCCAGCTAATTTTTGTATTTCTAGTAGAGAGGGGGTTTTGCCATCTTGGCCAGGCTGGTCTTGAACTCCTGATCTCGTGATCCACCCCACTCAGCCTCCCAAAGTGTTGGGATTACAGGCTTGAGCCACTGTGCTCAGCCAGGATTTTTTTTGTTTTGTTTTGAGACAGAGTTTTGCTCTTGTTACCCAGGCTGGAGTGCAATGGCGTGATCTTGGCTCACCGCAACCTCCGTCTCCTGGGTTCAAGCAATTCTTCTGCCTCAGCCTCCCGAGTAGCTGGGACTACAGGCATGCACCACCATGCCCAGCGAATTTTTTGTATTTTTAGTAGAGACGGGGTTTCACCATGTTGACCAGGATGGTCTCGATCTCTTGACCTCATGATCCACCCGCCTCGGCCTCCCAAAGTGCTGGGATTATAGGCGTGAGCCACCGCGCCCGGCCCAGTATTTCTTTAAGCTGAGGTTGAGCTGAACTTGTGTTGGGTCCTGGGCTTTTTTTTTCTTTTTCTTTTTTTAATTGATGTTTTGATGAGGCATCTGAAAATGATGTTTGTGTGTTTGGAGTTCAATTTGAGT